TAGTTTTCCATCTTATGAACAAATATAGATAAACACAGATACATAGATGGGTCCACACGTCCACTTTCCTTGAACTAGCTGGTTTTTAAATTGCCATGATAAAGAATCATAGGGCAGATACACTGAAACCATAATCACAGAAAACTAGCCAATCTGATCACACGGACCACAGTCTTGTGCTGTGTGGAGCCACCCAAGACGGACAGGTCATGGTGGAGAGGTCTGACAGAATGTGGTCCACTGGAGAAGGAAATGGCAAACCACTTCAGTATTCTTGCCTTGAGAACCCCATGAACAGTATGAAAAGGCAAAATGATAGGATACTGAAAGAGGAACGCCCCAGGTCGGTAGGTGCCCAATATGCTACTGGAGATCAGTGGAGAAATAACTCCAGAAAGAAGGAAGGGATGGAGCCAAAGCAAAAACAATACCCAGTTGTTGATGGGACTGGTGATAGAAGCAAGGTCCAATGCTGTAAAGAGCAATATTGCATAGGAACCTGGAATGTTAGGTCCATGAATCACGGCAAATTAGAAGTGGTCAAACAGGAGATGGCAAGAGTTAATGTTGACATTCTAGTAATCAGCTAACTAAAATGGACAGAAATGGGTGAATTTAACTCAGATGACCATTATATCTACTACTGTGGGCAGGAATCCCTTAGAAGAAATGGAGTAGCCATCATGGTCAACAAAAGAGTCCAAAATGCAGTACTTGGATGCAATCTCAAAAATGACAGAATGATCTCTGTTTGTTTCCAAGGCAAACCATTCAATATCACGGTAATCCAAGCCTATGCCCCAACCACTAATGCTGAAGAAGCTGAAGTTGAACAGTTCTATGAAGACTTACAAGACCTTTTAGAACTAACACCCAAAAAAGATGTCCTTTTCATTATAGGGGACTGGAATGCAAAAGCAGGAAGTCAAGAAACACCTTGAGTAACAGGCAAATTTGGCCTTGGAGTACAGAATGAAGCAGGGCAAAGGCTAATAAGAGTTTTGCCAAGAGAACGCACTCGTCATAGCAAACACCCTCTTCCAACAACACAAGAGAAGACTCTACACATGGATATCACCAGATGGTCAACACCGAAATCAGATTGATTATACTCTTTGCAGCCAAAGATGGAGAAGCTCTATACAGTCAGCAAAAACAAGACCAGGAGCTGACTGTGGCTCAGATCATGAACTCCTTATTGCCAAATTCAGACTTAAATTGAAGAAAATAGGGAAAACCACTGGACCATTCAGGTATGACCTAACAAATCCCTTATGACTATACAGTGGAAGTGAGAAATAGATTTAAGGGACTGGATCTGATAGAGAGCCTGATGAACTATGGATGGAGGTTCATGACATTGTACAGGAGACAGGGGTCAAGACCATCCCCATGGAAAAGAAATGCAAAAAGGCAAAATGGTTGTCTGAGGAGGCCTTACAAATAGCTGTGAAAAGAAGAGAAGCGAAAAACAAAGGAGAAAAGGAAAGATATTGCCATCTGAATGCAGAGTTCCAAAGAATAGCAAGGAGATAAGAAAGCCTTCCTCAGCAATCAATGCAAAGAAATAGAGGAAAACAACAGAATGGGAAAGACTAGAGATCTCTTCAAGAAAATTAGAGATACCAAGGGAACATTTCATGCAAAGATGGGTTCGATAAAGGACAGAAATGGTATGGACCTAACAGAAGCAGAAGATATTAAGAAGAGGTAGCAAGAATACACAGAAGAACTGTACAAAAAAGATCTTCACGACCCAGATAATCACACTGGTATGATAACTCACTTAGAGCCAGATATCCTGGAATGTGAAGTCAAGTGGGCCTTAGAAAGCATCACTATGAACAAAGCTAGCGGAGGTGATGGAATTCCAGTTGAGCTATTTCAGATCCTGAAAGATGATGCTGTGAAAATGCTGCACTCAATATGCCAGCAAATTTGGAAAACTCAGCAATGGCCACAAGACTGGAAAAGGTCAGTTTTCATTCCACTCCCAAAGAATGCTCAAACTACTGCACAATTGCACTCATCTCACACACTAATAAAGTAATGCTCAAAATTCTCCAAGCCAGGCTTCAGCAATACGTGAACCATAAACTTCCAGATGTTCAAGCTGGTTTTAGAAAAGGCAGAGGAACCAGAGATCAAATTGCCAACATCCGCTGGATCATCAGAAAAGCAAGAGAGTTCCAGAAAAACATCTATTTCTGCTTTATTGACTATACCAAAGCCTTCGACTGTGTGGATCACAATAAACTGTGGAAAATTCTGAAAGAGATGGGAATACCAGACCACCTGACCTGCCTCTTGAGAAACCTGTATGCAGGTCAGGAAGCAACAGTTAGAACTGGACATGGAACAACAGACTGGTTCCAAATAGGAAAAGGGATACGTCAAGGCTGTATATTGTCACACTGCTTATTTAACTTATATGCAGAGTACATCATGAGAAACGCTGGGCTGGAAGAAGCACAAGCTGGAATCAAGATTGCCAGGAGAAATACCAGTAACCTCAGGTATGCAGATGACACCACCCTTATGGCAGAAAGTGAAGAGGAACTAAAAAGCCTCTTGATGAAAGTGAAAGAGGAGAGTGAAAGAGTTGGCTTAAAGCTCAACATTCAGAAAACTAAGATCATGGCATCCAGTCCCATCACTTCATGGAAAATAGATGGGGAAATAGTGTCAGACTTTATTTTTGGGGGCTCCAAAATCACTGCATATGATGATTGCAGCCATGAAATTAAAAGATGCTTACTCCTTGGAAGGAAAGTTATGACCAACCTAGATAGCATATTAAAAAGCAGAGACATTACTTTGCCAACAAAGGTCAGTCTAGTCAAGGCTGTGGTTTTTCCAGTGGTCATGTATGGATGTGAGAGTTGGACTGTGAAGAAAGCTGAGCGCCGAAAAATTGATGCTTTTGAACTGTGGTGTTGGAGAAGACTCTTGAGAGTCCCTTGGACTGCAAGGAGATCCAACCAGTCCATCCTAAAGGAGATCAGTCCTGGGTATTTATTGGAAGGACTCATGCTGAAGCTGAAACTCCAGTACTTTGGCCACCTCATGCAAAGAGTTGACTCATTGGAAAAGACCCTGATGCTGGGAGGGATTGGGGGCAGGAGGAGGAGGGGACGACAGAGGATGAGATGGCTGGATGGCATCACCAACTCGATGGACATGAGTTTGAGTAGACTCTGGGAGTTGGTGATGGACAGGGAGGCCTGGCATGCTGCGATTAATGGGGTTGCAAAGAGTAGGACACAACTGAACTGATGATAAACAATAATCCCTTCTAAACATCCCTGCTAAATCTTTATTATGCCCTTAGGATAAATTCTGATGGAATTGCTGGGCAAAGGTAAGGGTAGTTTAAAGCTTTTTGGTAAATGTTGGCATATTTGCCCTTGGTGCCATTCAGATTTGCAATAAATTATTTTGAGTTTATTAGAAAGCTTCCCCTTGTGAGAAAATCCCTGGAGAACTATTGCGTAGGTACCATCTATACAGCCTGTTATGTCAGGGCCATGGGTATATATTAACAATACAGATGTTACTGCCCAATTCCATGGTTTTTAGTTATCAGACAAACTGGTGCACTTTAGTTTAGGTAAACCCTAATCTGGCTGTTCTGAAATTCCAGTCTAGGTTTTAAATCTGTGAGTAGAATTCAGAAGCACTATAGACCTTTAGAAATGTGCTAATTATAGTCATCTTACCAGCATTTGAAGTTGTTTATTATGAAACAACCTTGCCACCTTTGAATATTATTATTTTTCCTATCTCTTTGCTAGTTTGATAGAATAAAAGTGATATTTACTGCTTTGTTTTGCATTTAATTGCTTATTACAGAATTTAACTATTTTTCTTTTTGTTTCCATTTGTACTTACTCTTTTGTGAATTACTAGTTCATGTTCTTAGTCCCTCAGTATTTCTCTTCATTATTAATTTAATCACTTTAGGAGTAGGTTAATGAAGGTATCTGTGTAAATGAGTTAGTAATTGAGAGCACTGATATTTGTAAAATGTTGCCTCATAGGTAGTATAAATCAAGTCTGCCAGTCCAGTGGGCTCTAGTAATTTTAAAACAAGCACCTGTTTTAAAGTTTTCTTCTCCATACTTAAGGCTTTATTTCGGCATTGTATACTTGAATTACCAAATCTTTCTGTAATACTTTCTGTATTTACCGTGCTGGCCACAAAAGCATAACTCCTGCTGTTAGTCCAATTGAAAAAGAATGCAGAAATGTGATTTGAATGTTACATAACAGCATTTCATTATGTGTCCCATCATGTGTATAGTGATTGAGGGAAATAGGTAAATAGTAAAATTCTGACATTTCTACCGTGTTAGCACCTTGGTGTTCTGTACTACAGTCTGCTGTTGTTTTTCTCAATGTGAAAATTGGCAGAAATTAATTAACTTCAGTGTAGGTAATACTCTTTCTTTATTTTTAAGCTATGTGTTGGGTACCTAAGTGTTCTTTTTATTATTATGCTTTTATTATTTATATATGTTAGATGTTAACTTGTACATAGCAAATATTTTATTTAAAAAATTTTAAATAGGCAGATATTGTGGGGAAAAGCTGTTCCTCAGGAATACCAAAACTAATTAAATTATGTATTCTTTACTGTAAAATTGTTCAATTTGTCCACACAAATAATATTTTACTGTATAACATATATACATTATAATCTAAAACATCATATAAAAATAATCATTAACTTCAGAATCAATAACTGATTAGTACGTTTAGAAAAATGAAGAATTAGTAAAAAGATTTAAATAACAGTGGTCATTAGTTTGCATCTTTTTAGGATGCTAATCATCACTATATACGTTTTTTTCTAATAAATCTGAGCTGTGGTTATCTTTCTGAGTATGCATATTTAAGTTTTGCCACTTTCTCCAAAAGATATTTAAAAACATTAGTTGTGATTATACTGTTCAGTAATTTTCATGGTGTAAAGTACTTATACTTTTCCTTCTTGTAAGAGTCCGAGTGGATCATCAGTACACCAGTATGGCCTTGTGATCGACTGGATGTGCTCAATCGGCATAATCTGCTCTGTACGATTGCACATGAAATCTTAGCAAAGAGTCTTTACAGACAGACATTTGAAGTTTTGCAAAATCTACCAGGTTTTCAAAATTCTCAAGGTATGTTTTTTCAAAGTCTAGCTTAATTATCTCTGGCCCATCTGGTATTTAATAAGAAACAGTTCTCCACCTGTCTTGGTTGAATTTTATATTCCAGCATGTATTTTTAATGATGTTGGTTTTTGTAAAATGTGTTCTCTGCAAATTGAATATGCTTTCCTGATGGTTTAAAAAAAAAAAAAAAACAGAAATGCTTATCTTTGGGTTGTCTGTCAGCAGTTCCTGAAAGCAGCATTTCATCATTCCCCTTTTCCTTCCTCTGTCAAGTCATCAGCAAACAAGTAAATTAATCACGTAACAAAGATGGAACTTAGTCTGCATTGGAACATAGAAAAACATGGAATAAATGGAGGAAGTTAAGCAGATGACAAGTTCAAAGAGAGAGATGCCCATGTGGGCAGTGGCAGGTAGTGCTGAATGCTTGCAGGTCATAGGTCAGTAGCAGGAGAGAGTCTATGTGAAGGGAAACTGCAGAAGCTTTGGGTCAGGAATGAGCTGAGCAGTGGGTTCAGGGCATGGTTCATGTTTAATGAAAACATTGACTTGAAGGCCTCCCCTCAGTGCTTTGTCAGTCTCCATTTTCCCATGTATTCCACTGAGATTCTATATTGTCATTAACATTCTTATCCTTTTCTCCCTGTAGATAGTAAACTTCTTAAAGTCAATGAGGTTTTCTTTATTTTAGTATCTCTGGTACAATGGTTGCTGTAGAACTAGCTTTTGATATACAATTATCTTAATAATGAGACAAAGTAATAATAGTGAGATTGATCAGATAGTTGTGCCAGATTTTGGAAGACCCTGAATGGCAGGCTAAAAGAATTTACTTTTCTATATGTAGTTGGGGATCACCCGCTTTTTGGGGTCAGGGAGTGACATAATGAAGTTGGTATTTTAGGAAAGTTCCTCTGCTGTAAGGTAAGAAGATAAATATCCTGATAAGGCCTGGACCACTGAAAAATCCTGAAGTGATAAAGACCTAGAAAGTGAAAGTCGCTCAGTCATGTCCAACTCTTTGTGACCCCATGCACTATACAGTCCATGGAATTCTCTAGGCCAAAATACTGGAGTGGGTAGCCTTACCCTTCTCCAGGGGTCTTCCAACCCAAGGATTGAACCCAGGTCTCCTGCATTGCAGGGGGATTCTTTACCAGCTAAGCCACAAGAGAAGCCCATTAAAGACCTGGAGTCTAGGTCATAGACCCACCTAATTGAATATAGCAAATAAAAGAGTTGGAAGTCTCCAAGGTGACTTCACTTTCTTCTGAATGAAAGGCAGAAAGGAGTAGGCATACCCAGGAAAGGAGGGTTTTGGTTTTTTTTAATTTGAGAGTGAATATTTGTGAGTGGTTTTATTTTTAGTAACAGGAGATATAAGTCTGAGGTCCACTCTTTAGATAGAATGCAGACAGAACCATGCAGATGCAGTCACATGGGAAACCATGGATAGGGTTGTTAATGTAGGCTCTACGGTCACATTTCTTTGACATTCTCCATTACAAAGTGGACACACCATTTTGCTTTTGTTGAATGCTTTTTTTTGGTTAATTTAGTGTATAAGATGATTGCATTTTGGTGACTGTGTCTCCTACAGTGGGTAGGAATGGGCCAAAGAGAATAGAGGGGAAACGGAAGGAGTAAAACAGAATTTTGAGAGATGAAACTAGATCAGTTTCATTTTATCAATTATTTTTTCTTTTCAGAAACTGTGGAGGTCTCACAGTATAGCCTACTTTTTAATAAACTTCTAGATGCCTGTATAGAAAGCAACAGCCTTGGTATGTCATCCTCTGTAGCAGAATTCATGATTTCAAAGAGAATCCCTATTGATTTTTCCTTTCTTAGAAGATTAATTACTTCTTTAGGAAGGAGTTGTTTATGGCTCAAAGCCAGAACCCACTACAAAAGTAAGTTACATTTTAAACTTTAATTTTGATATATTGGTTTTGAATTTGATTTTCTAACCTGACATCTATGTATAATATTCACAATGTGACATTAAATATATAAAAAGATCAGTTTATACATGTTTAAAAACAGTGGTCTACACAGATCTGTGCTTTTTTGAAATCTGTTATGTCTCTTATTTCTGATTACTCTATTTTTATTTCTTTGCATATTGGCATGTCCACTGGAGGATATGAAAAGGAAATAAATGACAGAATTTGAACCAGTTTGGCATATTTTATAAATATATAGGAGTAAAACACTTGGTAAAATGAAGTTTCAGAAATGTGTGCTTATTCCTGACATTTTTGGTTAGAATATTTTATAACAGGCACACAGGAAGTACAGAGGCAATCATTACTGTGCAATATGATATGTAATGGGTTTTCACATGGCTCTCAGTAATAGAACTTTGTTCATCTGTTAACAGTTGTTCTTTTTTAACAAGTAAGCCTAGAAAAGGAATACTTCCTCTAGTCCCAACCTCCTCACAGGTATTTTAATTAGAAAACAGTTGTGTGATCTACAAAAGAATTCTTTTCTGCATTCATGCAGTGATTTGTCATAAATTTTAATTCTACCACTACCATCTGGATAACAATCAGTTGAGTACCTACTCTGTCACCATTGTGCCATATGTGGCAAACATCCCAGCCACCCCATCAGTGCCAACAGAAACCTCTCAGAACTGGAGGTGTTTCTCAAGTTGCCAGCTGGGATCAGTTTAGCAAGTGGTAACTTTTATTTCCCCAGTGAGATGTGAAAGAAAATATTAGTATGCATTGCAGATAGTAAGATTATGTATTATTTAATATTCTTATATGTGTGGTAGGTCATTATGTAAGATGTATTTCTTATTGCCAGTTACAATAAAAAGTTTTCAAAACTGAATTTTTTTAAAAGGATGATCAGAAATCTAGAGGCAAGGTGGAACTGTTTGTTCATAACACCTCATTTCAGTTTTGTGGTTGTTTCAACTTCTCATACTCTGCAGACTGCTAGAAATCACACCACAAAGTATATAAGTAACTATTTGCTATAACTGCTTGATTTTAGTTTTTAGAATTGATGTTAATGAGATTACTTGTTTTCCAAATAACTGTTTGATTTGGGGAAAATGCCATCAGAAGGCATTTCTATATGCCACAGAAACAAATTATTAACTTGGAAATATTTAACTGAGATTTCTATGATCTTTATGTTTTTTAGCTGAAGATGAAATTTTGTATTAAAACAGATAAACTTAACCATTAAAAAATTTTAATTTATAGCTTTATTAAGATAAAATTCAAATATCACACAGTTCACCCATTTAAACATGTACAATTCAGTGATTTTAGTGTATTTACAGAATTGTGCAACCATCACCACAATTTTAGAACATTTTTATCAAGCCAAAAAGAAACCCCATATGCATTGATTCACCCCCCACAGCCCCAGATTCTTTCAACCCTGGTAATAATTTATTTTTAAAGACATTTTTTTAAGCAATGTGTTAAAGCAATTAATGCCTGAGTACAATTCAGTACCTTTCTTATTAGTACTTTTCCTCTTATGTAAACACATCTGTGCCTGATTTTCATATGCAGTGAAGCTTTAGGGACTTACACAAGTGAGGTTATAAAGAGTGTTTTTGTTTTTTTTCTAATGTACCTGAGTTATAAAATGAAATTAGTAATTTATAGTCACTGATCAATCTCCAGAGCATCAAATTTCCCAACACTGTTGACATTTAAAATATCAATGGAACTGTCTTTGAATTTATCTTCACACACAGGTTAGCAAACACCTGAAAAGACTTTCAGTGCCTTATAATCACATCTAGTGGAAATATTTTATTATGTTGTATTGACTATGGCTTAAAGTAAGTGGCAGTTTTGAAAATTTCTCTCTTCATACTTAACGTTTCAAAAACATTTTACAAAGAATGATCTCAAATGTACTAGGATAAGCTCACTACCATATAATTTAATGCAATAAATCTGCCTCTAATGTGAAGAATTATTCTGAAATAAAAATAATTATCACCTATAGATATTTTGGAAGCCTATGTTTTCACCTGTTGGAGTTTTAGTAAAGTTTGATCTATTACTTTTCAGGTGCTCTTTCACTGGGTTGCTACCCACCATTGGAGGGAAATTTGTACCGAAAACTTCTACTGATTCCATCCTATTTGTCTGAAATTGAAATGCTTTTAGCTATTGAAATCTTCCTGGTATCTAATGCTAGTAGTATTCAGAGTCCTGGAACTTCTACACAAATACTGCAGATAGTTTTAAAAAGGTTGGTTGAAATATTTCTAATTGCATCCTGACAGTAAGTCATGACTCCCTATACCTGCCCTAGAATGTAAATGTTTTATCTATTTGTGTAGTATATATGTAAAGCATTTGCATAGATACATATATTTATATACTTGTGCATGTGTGTATTGGCAAACTTTGGTAACACGTTGAGAAAGGATTTGACCTATTTGAGATTTAAAACTAAACAAGTTAGTACCTTTCAATAAACATTTTGACAGTTTCAAAGATCTTACTAGATATCCAAAGAGATGGGTCTTCTTTAGATACGGACCTTTCTCATTTACTGGTGGTTTTCAGGTAGGTACCTGAAAGTTTTATATATTTTTTTTGGTCAACACAAAAGATGTAAGAACCAGGTCTAAAAGGGAAATACATGATCATTTATTAGATTCAGTGAAGAATCCTGTTGAAAATAAAGCCATCAGCCTAGTTTCGATATTTTAAAATGTGGTAAGAAGTGCATGTTGTTACTGTGTGGCTGTTGGACCAGTGTGGCGTCCTTTCCGATCATTTTGTTCAAAGTCCCAGCATGTAGTTGTGTACCATTCCAATTTCTTGTCAGCTTTATCCAGGAAACTTGTAAGATAAGGGTCTCACAGGGCTCCTGTTTGAGAGTATCTTAACAAGAATTTTACTTCAATTTACTGGTATTAGAAACCAGATCTTCAGACTGAATGTTCTGTTAGCTATCTCTTAACAGTGCATGTTATCCCAAAACTTAGTGGCTTAAAACGGCAAAAATTATCTTAGTTCCTGTGGGTCAGGAATGTTGGGGGACCTTAGCCAGATGGTTCTGGCTCAGAGTCTCTCACATCCTGGAGTCGGGATGTGGTCAGGACCTGCAGTCTCCCACCTGATGGCTTCACTGGGGCGGGAGGATCCATCTCCAAGCTGGCTAACTCATGCCTGTCAGCAGGAAGCCTCAGCTCCTCACCACACGGCCTCGCCATAAGTTCCTCAAGTGTCTCCATGGCCCGACAGCCAACTTCTCTCAGAGTGAGTGGTCCAGGAGAAAACAAGGAGGAAGCTATAGTGCCCCTTTTGACCTTTGTGACCAGATCTGTGAAGGCTCTGACATTTCACCTATTTGCAGGCCATCAGTGAGCCTGCCGCAGTTTCACGGGTCCTGGCATAAGACTCAAGACTTGTGGGTTGGAGACAGGACTTGATCACTCATGGCACAGCAAGCAGCAGGATTATCTGCATATTTGCATCTCTTCCTCTTGCTCCCAAGTCCCACACTCAAATCCTGGTGGATACCTGTACATGAAGTGAGTTCCATTACAGGAGAGGAATTCTGAACTTAGGATCCCATATCTTTTATAATGAATTATCAGCATGCCTGCCTCTTTGCTCTTCAGGTAGAAAGGCTGTCTCCACCTTGTAAGGCTGTAAGCAAACCTGTCTTTGGCTCTCGAAAGAGAAGCTATCTTTGTCTTTCAAAGTTGTTCACTGTAGTAAACATCTTTAAAATCTGGAACAAGGGAATAATCAGTCTCTGCTGTCAAAATGTCCAGAAATGCAGGAGGCCTGAAACATTTTAAATTCACTAAACTTAGTTTTTTTGCTAGAGCTTTTTTCTGAGGGCCTTGTATTTATGACTGTGCACTACAGTAGCATGAGTTATTTGCATTCCCCATTATCCTAATGAGGGTTTGGTTTTCTCATAACTTTCCATTCCCCACACATATGCAGTCTCTATTCATTAGTGAATGTAGGGGGAGCAGTATTTGTGACACCAGTCCATAACTCATTACATGCCTAGAGCCTCTATTTTGTCCAAACTAATATTATTTTCTCTATTATTATTATCATACTGAGCCCTGCTTTGTTACATTAACCTCTGAGAGAGAATTTAATTCATCTTCAGACTGTCAAAAACTGCATGTAGTTGGCATATGCCCATATTTCAGACACTAATCCTAAGCTAGAATGTACTAGAGGCAGCCTGACCAATCTTTGCTCCCTGTGATCACTGATTCCTGTTCCAAGTGGAAGTGCTCACTCCCCCCACTCTGTGAATCACACTTGGTGCTAATGCAAGTACACTTACGCTTGGGCTTTGCTGCTGGACCTTCTTTGTGCCCAGGGCAGGATTCAGTGAACACAGAGGAAAAAGTGATGCCTAATAACAGCTACATCTCTATTCTATATACTGCTTACTCCCTATCCCACAGGACAAATAGCTATAATGTATGAGTTTTTTGAAATTTGGAGACTGGTAGAAAAGTTAGTTTAAAAGTAAATTCTAAAAAAAAAAAAGTAAATTATAGCACTTTAGTGAAATACCTTAAATCAGGATTGAAGAAAATAACTGGAAATTGAGTAAAGGCATACAGCAACTGTTTCTGTTACCAGATGTGAGCTTCATATTAAGTATATACTTACAATTAAAAATAGTTGTATCAAGGTAAAACATGGAATGTTAGTATCTCCAAACTTGATTAAATTTATTATTACTTTATGCATTATAATAGTTAATTATACAGTTATTAATGACAGAGAGGTAGTAAGTTGTGTTTTAGATCATTGTTTCCAGACTGCGGGTTGTAGCCTGTTTGGGTAGTGAAATCAATTTAGGGGGTTGCAACTATTTTATTTTGAAAAATAAACCAGAATAGAATATAATGTCATAAGGGTAAATCTCGTTATGTGAAACTTTTATTTCAGTTTTTATGTAGCAGGTATATACTGGGTCACCATATTGAGTGTCTTTATTACTGTGCCTCATAGTCAAACAAGTATGAAAGCCACTGATAGAATATAGTAAAAGACTGCCATAGCTTAGAATTAATACATGTAAATTACTATATTTTAAATAAACTATATAGCTTCCTTTTAGAGTTTCTGACTTTGTGAGGTGTTCACTTTGTAGATGTGAAGAAAACAAATCTCGGAGCAAGGATGATTATCAAGCTGCAGTGGAAAGATTAATTATGGCTGCTCGTATATCAGATCCAAAGCTTTTCATTAAGCACATGACCGTCAATGTTAATAAGGAACAGGTTTATAGTTTGGAACATTGTTCTGCCCTGAAATGGCTGAAAGAGAATATGAAGTGGGCCGGAAAGGTTTGGCTTTTCAATAACCGTTAGTTATAAAGGCTTTTTTTTTTTTTAAGTTCAAGTAATCATTGTTGAAAATAAAAGGCAATAAAAATATATAGTTTTCACTATATTCAGCTTTTGCTCTTTATTGACGTATAGTATGTCAATAGTTTTCAAACATTAAAAATTTTGATTGATGTATGCAATTTAGAAGTTTTCCCATACTGCAAATGATTTTTGAAATTACTTCTTGACTTCTCTTTAGGTAAACTCAAGAATGGTGAATCCCAATTTGTTCTAAAATCTAAGAAATGAAAAATTACAAAATGAGTATTATGCAGCATTTAATAAGAGGGAGACATAAAGGAGAAAGTATGCAAGCAGGTGTCTGGAGCTTTCAGAACAACCGTTAGGGGTCTGAAGTAAATTTGATGAACGCTCAGTCCAGTGTCTAAAGCCTGTTCTACACTCTAGAGTAGTAAAATAATGCTGGAAAATGACTCAAACATGAAAATTCAGGAATACCTTCTGAGTTATACCAAAAATGTTATTCTCTTCAATTTTCCTTCAGTGTATCTTAAAATACTGTTTCTTGAAGATTTGTAATTCATGTACATTAGGTATGACTAAAGACAACAGTATTTTAAACAAATATGCCAGAACTTAAATATCCAAACAAGAACTGGACCTTTCAAACTACCTTAGGAAGTTTAAACTCCTTTTCTGAAGCCATCTGCAGAATCTGTAGCAGTCATTCTCCAAGGTAGTCATCCTCAGTCCTTGGTTTGATACTTCAGGCCATAATTTAAATAATTTAGAGAAATGTCTGAGTAAGGGGACTGATTTAAAAAGAATAAGTGGTGACTAGGGGGACTGAATGTATTTCTTAAAGGAGTTCCCAGGATACGTAATGGCAACATTACTGGAATAAGCCTATAACCTCACAAGACTAAAAAAGCTAAAACCTAGCACTTAGCAAAATGCCTTACTATGATAAAATGTAGAAGGAATACCCTCCTGAATGGTATATGGGAAGTGAGGCAGAAGATGTCCAGAAAGAGGCCCAGTTTTCCAATATGAACAAACTGGGTGACTGATTGTCATCACTGAAATTCAGCACCTAGGAAATAAATTGGGTTTGGAGATTACTACCATCAGTTTGAAGTGCTTTTGAGGACAAGTGAAGAACAGTAAATGTACAGTTAGAAACTTGTTTTTTCTATAGCTGGTAACTAAAACCCAAAGAAAAGAAAGAAATATGAAGCCATTTCGATGCTGGTGGCAGGGTTGGATTTGAAAGGATGAAGATGCAGAAGATGGTAAATTAAGCTTTTAGGGAAAATGGGATTGGATGGAATGGACCACAAGTTGACCAGATTGTTTCTAACGAATGAGTAGTCAGGAACCCTTAGGGCTGAAACAAAGGGAGGTCTTGGGTTTTTGTTTTTTCCCCCCACGTCGGTTAACAGTACCAAAGATAGGAGAAAGAGGAGAACGGTTATAGTATTTGCTTTATTTCATCTGTGGCAGTTTATGGGAATAACCAAAGCCATAGAAGCGAAATACAGCTAACAGTAAAAACCCCAAACTGATGGTGGAGAATGCTCAAGGTTCCAAAACATCTAGATACCGAAGGGGCCAAAGTCAAAATGCAAATCGGAGACAATAAATCGTTTTCATTGGTATTTGTGTAAAGGAAGTCAAAAGACACTCAGTAAGACCTTTAAATCCGGAGCTGTCAAGTGAGAGCCGTCCTAAGGCGACAGACCCGCGCACTCTGCAGGCTGATCCGCTAAGCCAGCCTCCTCCCCCCGAAGGTTGAGGGGACCCGGGCCGGGGCGGAGAGCAGAGCCGGCGCATGCGCGCGCTCGGTCGCCCTTCCCTCCTTGCCCTCTCCGGCGACCCTCGGGCCAAGCCTGGCTACCTGCCGCCCAGTCACCTTCCAGCTCCCTACCACCTAGTCCTTCATATCCGTTAGCGCTCATTCGCGCCTCCTAAAGCTTTCCGTTGAGTGCGCAGGGCCCCCTCCAGGCCAGGAGGTAAGAAAACGGAGGAACGGGGGGCTTCTACGCTGCGGGCAGGCAAGCGATCACCCGGTCGCCGACGTCACCACGGGGCTGAGAACCGCTAGGGTTTTAACCCGCGTCCCGGGCTGCGCGCAGGCGCCCCAGAGAGGAAGGCCTGGCGCGCTTCAGCCAATGAGAGCGCGACCAGCGGCCTGTCCCCAAGCCCCGGCTCCTCTCGAGCGAGCCTCGGCGCCGGGGCTGACGGACTGGCAGAGCAGTACGCGCCCAGATGAGATTTCAGGGCTGGGGGTTCACAGAGCCCCGGGGGTAGGAGCCTGTCAGCGCCAGTCGTCAGGTGCGGCGAGAGCAGGCGGGAGCGGCGCGAGCTCGTTGGCCGGGCTGGCGCCCCGGTGCGCATGCGCCCCCGCGTGGCCCAGCGCGTCCCACACAGTCCCGCGGGAGGAGCGCCCGTCCTTGCACCTGGTACCTCGTGGGAAGTGGAGCAGGTCAGATCAAGCCCTCGCGGAGGAGACTTGCCGGAACTGTAAGCTGCAGGACCGAAGGGACTCCGTTTGTGCCTTCAGGCTGCTCGAGGCAGAAGCGGGGCGGGGGGTGCGGCGGAGGGGGAGTGCGGGCAGAGCAGCAGTCACAGTCACCTTAGCTCGGCGTGCTAAAACTCGGGCAGTGCCAGCGGCCCGCGTACTCGCGTCGCGTCTCTTTTAACTTGTTTGAAATGAGAAACTTGAGACGATTTAGATGTTGTTTCTGCTATCGTATTTCCCCGGTCTTTGACTTATCATAGAAAAATGTTATGATTCAAATCTCAGAGCATGAGATATACGAAAGGAAAGCTTTAAAAACCTAGATATTTTGCTACAATTTATTAATTTATCTAAAAGGCTTCCTGCTTTTGCCTTTTCTTTGCTTTTTTCCCTTCCCTAAGAAGTATTAAACTGAAGAGCAATGAAAAATTGCCTGCTTTTATCTCTCCTTGATAGAACATACTACTTTTTAAAACCGTAGAAGATAGTTACTAAGGAAAGCCACAGTTTAAATGAGAGTAAACCTAAGGATATTAACCCTGTTAGAGTAAATGACTTTCAAAAAATATTATGCCACCTGACTAAAGATCGGTACTAGGACCTCTATGTGGCAAACATGGTTTCTGTCAAAAGTAATTTAAACAAAAGTTTTAAGCTACCCGTAATTTGGCTTTTCCACCTATTTAGATATCTATTTCTACCCAATTTGATTTGAAACTCCCCAGATTTAGTGCCTCACTTTATTTATTTATTTATTTTAGTGCCTCACTTTAAAGAGCACAGAATTTGGGTTAAAGTCAGAACTTTTCGTTTTATACAATAGAAGCTAATGTTGTCACTATTAAGTGTATTAGGGCAGCCATTTACTATGGTTTGTGATTGAACTGCATCTCTCCTGGTCTTCCTCCCACCATGCAGAGGAAACAGTCTCCGTGGAAAAGCCTTCCGGAGTCCCGCCATTCTAAGTGTAGCCCCTGGTAGCTGCCCATGGTACTTTGCGCATTGCTATGTTATTTCATTTACCGCAGTGTTTTATAATCATCTGCTTGTGTCCAATTCCTCCCTCTCTCCTAGACTGTAAATTTTTGGAATGGTGGAATTATCTTGGTATTTTTCTATTCCTAGTGTTTAGATAGAGCCTGGTACATAAGTGTTTGGGTAAATACCTGTTGATGAGCTAGGTAATTAAGGGCCTGAGTTTCTCCTAAGTGTGGTAAGACAGAGGAATGTTTTAGTCATTTTGTAGCATGCCTGAGGCCTTTTCCAAATGGAGGACTAGTGGGCCAGGCGAAATGCGGACAAGATCGGCCCAGGTATGAATTTGAAGACCAGAATCCTGCCGCTGACCTGGGTGCCTCCGCCTTTTGGACTTATTTCTCACTTGCAAACGGGAGCACCTAGCTCTGCCCTTCAGTCAGCTGATAGTGATTTGATTTTCTGTGTAGCTGGTCCTGTAGATCTGAATCTTCTAGTCTTCTTAGCAATTATATTTCTCATAATAAATTTAAAAGTTGTCATGGGAGTTGTCAGCCCCTTATGTTTCATTTCCCCAGGGCCTCTTTATTTCTGGCTGAAGTGATAAAATTGGGTGCTTGGTCTTGAAAAGATGAGAACTGACCCAAGATCTATGCCACGTGAAAAGGCAAGCAGCGTGTGTACCAGCCTGCTGGCCTATGACCTTATTTCCACTTAGTTGTTTGTTTTTTTTATCTCAAGAAGTAGGTTAACCATACAGGAAACAAAGAACAAGGTCAAGCGAAACTTAGAATCTTCATTCGAATTTTAGCATACAATTGACTATGTAAAAATCTTTCCCTCAAATTGTACTGAACAGGTATATTTAAAGAATTATTTCTTAATTTCTCTTTCTGTTTTCTCATTGTTAGTGTATAGGAAAGCTTAAAAGTTTCCTAACAGACCCCTCAATCCTGTAAAATGATAGAATGCCTTAAGGCAGTGATTCTTGAACCTGAATTTGGAGAACCATATTCCCTGTTTTGTTTTTTTTTTCTTCTCTTTCTTGCCTTGTGTGTGTTAGCCACTCAGTCGTGTCCGATTATTTGAGACCCCATGAACTTCTCTATCCATGGGATTTTCCAAGCAAGAGTACTGGAGTGGGTTGCCGTTTTCTTCTGCAGGGGATCTTCCTGACCCACGGATAGAACAAGGTCTCCTGCATGGCGGGCAGATGCTTTGCCATCTGAGCCACCAGGAAAGCCTCTTTCCCTTCTTGTCCCTCCTGTTTTTTCAAAAAATGGGTCCTGGTCTGATCACGCCTTCCCTATCACTTAGTTGTCAGAGCCTGCTCTTAAAGGAGGGCTAATGGGAAATAAATTTTTCCAGCAATTTTAATATGAAATGAACATCTTAGAATTGTAGTTTGGTTGAGTGTCTATCAGAATTATTAAGTAAAAATCTTTCTTATGTGCATGGGCATTTTCTCATAGAAATATGAATGGTCACCTTTGGGGAAGGGAAGGATTATTGGCAAAAGGAAAAGTAGTCACGTTCTCTCTCATAATGCCTCTCCACCTCCCAGTTGTGAAACACTGTCTTTAAAAAGCCATGTTCATTCATTGAAAAGGCAGTTGCCACAGCACAATACACTTGATTTTACCCATTTTGGTTCCTTTGCATTTTGAAGAGAGAAATGCTACTAACATGAAAACTTACATTTTTATACTAAGCATGTGCTTTCCAGCATTTTAAATGTGTCTTTCAACATTTTTTCTTAAATTCACAGCACAGATAACTTCAGCCTGGTGAGCATCAGATAAAGCTCAGTAGTGTTACATATATTTGTCGTTGTTTCATTTGTGTTAAACTTGTTATTATTGGTAGTATTAGAATTGTAATTTATTACAATTGTTTTTTTATTTATTAGTATTAGGATTGTAATTTTTCCTCTTTATAAAAGGGAGACATTTCAGTAAAATATTTAGTCGTTGATAGACTTTTTTTAATTGAACTATAGTTGATTTACAGTGTTGTGTTTCAGATGTACAGAAAAGTGATTATTTTTCAGATTCTCTTCATTTATAAGTTGTTAAAAAATACTAAGTATGGTTCCCTGTGCCATACAGTAGGTCCTTGTTGTTTATCTGTTTTATTTATGGTAGTGTGTATATGTTAATCCCAAACTCCTAATTTATCTCTACCCCCCTTCTCCCTTGTTAACTGTAAGTTTGTTTTCTATGTCTGTGGGTATGTTTCTGTTTTGTAAGTAAGTTCATTTGTCTTTTTTTTAGATTCTACATATAAGTGATATTATATGGTATTTGTCTTTCTCTGTGAATTGACATTTTCTACAATGAAGATAAAGTTTCTGACTTAACTACTCCTGCCTAGCAGACTATAGTATTGTGTTGGCTCACAGTATTCTCTCAGTTAATAAAAAATTTTTCTATTTCAGTTTGACATGACAGTATATGTTATGCAGGTGTTTCTGCTATGACATATACACATTCCTGGAAGCCTAGACATTCTGTAAGATAATATACTAATCAAGGTTCATTGAAAAAAATTTACACCTCTCAAAACAAGACATGTGGGAATCTCTAGCTGTTTCATTTGTGCTATTGCAGCTCCCCAGGTTGCTTGATGAAGTGGAAAATGCAAAGATACTTGAAGCGACTAACCATCTGCTGCTTAAACCAAAGGAAGGAACTACTGGAGGATTTTCAGGGTTTTTTTTTTTTCTCAGGATTTTGTTTATAGCTAAAACTTCCTTTGTAATAGTAGAAAGCCCACCACTGATGATCTCAAATCATTAACATGGTGGGGAAAATGCATGTCATATAATATCTCTCCCCTGCTGACCAGGTGCACATAAGCTATGTTAATTCACATTAAAGAAACTTTTTTCTTTGGTAGCAGAACAGACTGCTCTTGGATCATCTCTGTCATTTATTAGATGAGGAGCAGACTCAGGGAAGTGAAACAACTTGTCCGTTCTCACACAGCTAGTCAGTGATGCAGTCAGGATTTGAATGTGGATTTCAGAGACTCCGGGCTTCCCAGGTGGCACTAGTGGTTAAGAATCCACTGCCAGTGCAGGAAATGCAAGAGACACAGGTTCGATCCCTAGGTCGGCACCCCACTTCAGTATTCTTGCCTGGAAAATTCCATGGACGGAACCTGGCAGGCTGCAGTCCATGGGGCTGAAAAGAGAGGGACACGACTGGGCATGCGTGCTCGGAAACTCCAGCCTACCTAACCGTCGGGCAGACTGCCTTCCCCAGCAGCGTCATGTTCACTTAAATTTGCCTTGAGTTGGCCTAAATCCGCGCCATCCAATAAAAATACAGTATGAGCCCCAGATGTAATTTAAATTTTTCCAGTGATAAATCACAAAACACAGTTAAAACCAGATTGTGTTTTGCTTTTAAAATAGAAACAAGTGAAATCAATAAATTATCATTTCAACAGCTCATCAGAATCTAAAATGTGATACTTGGCATTTTCTCTCTGTGCCCCCTGCCTTCCTCCAGAAGTCGTATTCATAACCACTGGACCCCAGGGAAGTCCCTGTTCTGTTTGTTTTGATGTCTTGCTTTGGAAAGTGGGCTGCGGAGCATAACTTGGATCACCTATGTTGCACATCAGATGGAGGCATTGTGATTTCTTAAACTTCTAAGATACTGCTGCCACAGACCGTTAAAACAGGCACGTTGTTGTTTCAATGGGAGGCCTATGTGCTTTCCATTGTTCAGTACTTAGAACTTTTCAAGGCTTCTTTTAGAAGCCTGAGAGAAAAAGCATAGTGGTTAGAGCGTGGCTGCTTATTATTTTCATCTGTTTTCCATTCGTGTTCTTGGGTAACCATATGCCTCTAGAGTATTATTCCTCATTTCTTATCCACAGTTTTAGCTCATTTTATCATCTTTGCAGTTAAGTGGCATAAATGTTCTTAATATGAAAACTGAAATATCATCATGTGTGAATGTGAAGGACTCTTTTCTTCTTGAACTCCACTTGGGACCACAGTCCAGGGCTGTCACTGGACAGGTTTCCCAGGGCCGGGGGCCTGTCTTAAATACTCAGTGAACAACATGCATGTCATTTTTGTTGAATTTTGTATGCCAGCAGCACTGTTTTTTTGTTTTTAATTTTAAGAACATATTTTGCATGTTCATGGTAAATAAACTAGGAAATATAAAAAGTAAAGGACTTCCTAGCTGACACTTAGAGAGAGCCAGTTTTGGGTTGGATATGTATATTCTTCTGGTCTCTTCTTTGCAAACTTTAAGCCTTGTACCTGTTCTCTCTTAACTAAGTCGCAATTGTTCAGTTACTTTGATTGATTGATTGAGTTTTGGTTGCACTGGGTCGTCATTGCTGCGCTCGGGCTCTTTCTAGTTGCGGTGAGCGGGAGCTCCTCTCCTTTGCTGTGCACAGGCTTCTGATTGCAGCGGCTTCTCTCGTCGTGGAGTATGAACTGTAGCTGCGCGAACTTCCGTAGTTGCAGCACAGGCTCAGTAGTTGTGGCACACAGGCTTAGTTGCTCCAAGGCTTGTGGCATCTTCCCAGGCCAGGCATTGAGCCTATGTCCCCTGCATTGGCAGGCAGATTCTTATCCACTGTACCACCAGGAAAGTCCTGTTCGGTTAATTTTGTGACGACGTTTGGTAAGAATTCAGTCCATCATGGACAGCACCAAAATTTTAATAAAAATGTTCTTCTTCCCTCATTATGTCTCCATTTAATCTCAGAAATCTTGCAAATGGTAGGAATATTTCTAGTATCTGAATTTATTACAAACAAAATAGCAAGGTGAATGGTTAAGTAAAACCTTTTTAAACATTTAAATGAATGCCTATAAACACATTCTATATCCAAGAGGGTCTTGCCACACCAATCAACCAGAAAATAAATGGAAGCATCCACTGTTGTTTGCAAATGCACTTTTTAAGTGGGTAATTCTTGACTTTTCTTTAAAATACTTCTTCTGTTAGTGGTAGTTATGCTTCATTACATTGCCTTGGTTCAGATATATTAACTGCATTACGAAAGCATTTTTTATTTTAAATTAATTTATTATTTTTTAATTGAAGGATAATTGATTTACAGAATTGTGTTGGTTTCTACCAAACATCAACTGAAAATTTTTAAACCATTTTTAGTGCTTAAGATTTTGACAGAATAGGACTTGAGCCATGTGGTGGTTTGTTTTGAGGGAATATGCTGCTCCACATGGCTATTAAGAGTGGAATAGTGTAGAAAGCTCCAAGCTTCGTAAGCCAGGGGAAGAAAGGAGAAAGGATTTTTTAAACCTGGTGATTGTCGTGTAAATAATAAGTCACTTCAAGACTTTAATAAGAGATTGCTCAGAGTTTTTAAAGTCACTCGATCAGTTGACGTGGGTTGCTGAAGCTCTGAATTATTGGAAAAGTTCATGTGATTAAAATCATGTTTCCCCTTTATCTGCTTAAACTTTAAAAACATAAAAAACCTTTGTTTTTTAGAGCAATATTAGGTTCACAACAAAAGTGAGCAAAGTATAGATTCCCACTTCCTCCCTACACACACATAGCCTCCCACACCTGAGTTGTACATTTGTTACAATCAATGAACCTATATTGACACGTGATTATCACCCAAAGTCCATAGTTTACATTAGGGTTCACTCTTAGTGTTGTACATTTCATAGGTTTGGGCAAATGTATAATGATATCTATCTACCATTATAGTAGTATTATATGGAGTACTTCCACTGCCCAAAAATCCTGTGTGGTCCACCAATTCATCACTCCCTCCCTGCCAACCACTGATCTCTTTACTATCAGCATAGTTTTGCCTTTTCCAAAATGCCATATAGTTGGAATCATACAGTATATAATCTTCCCAGGTTGCTTTTTTCACTTAGTTATATGCATTTAAATTTCTTCATGTCTCCTCATAGCTTGAGAGCTCATTTGTTTTAGTACTGAGTAATATTTAATTAGCTGGATGTACTGCAGTTTATCAGCTCACCTACTGAAGGAAATCTTGGTTGCTTCCAGGATCTGGCAATTACGAATAAAACCACAATAAACATCCGTGTGCAGGTTTGTGTGTAGACATGTTTTCAGTTCATTTGAATAAATACTAAGGAGTGTGGTTACTGGATCATATGGTAAGAGTCTGTTTAGTTTTGTAAGAAGTTTCCAAACTGCCTTCCAAAGTGGCTGTATCATTTTGCATTCCTGCTAGCAATGAATGAGAGTTTCTGTTGCTCCACATCCTCACCAGCATTTGTTGTCAGCGTTTTGGATTTGGCCATTCTAATAGGTGTGTTGTAGTATATCATTGTTTTAATTTGCATTTCCCTGAAGACCTATGATGTGAAACGTATTTTTATATGCTTATTTGCCATCTGTATATCTTATTCCATGAGGTATCTGTTCAAATCTTTGGCCCATGTTTTAATCAGGTTGTCCATTTTCCTGTTGTTGAGTTTTAAAGATATTTTTGGTGTATGTTGGATAGCAATCCTTTGTCAGATATGTATATCCTTTGCAAATATTTTCTCCCAGTCTGTGGTTTGTTCTTTCTTTCCCTCTACATTGTCTTTCACAAAGCAAATTTTTTTTTAATTTTTAATTTTAATGAAATTCAGCATATCAGTTCTTTCCTTCACAGACTGAACCTTTGGTGTTGTATCTGAAAAGTCACTGACATACCTAAGGTCATCTAGGTTTTCTCCTAGGTACCTGTCTATGAATTCTGTAGTCTTGTGTTTTATATTTAGGTCTTTGATCCAGTTTGAGTTAATTTTTATGAAGTGTGTAAATTGTATGACTGGATTAATATTTTTGCATGTAGATGTCCAGTTGTTCCAGTACCATTTGTTGAAAAGATTATCATTGCTCCATAGTAGTGCCTTTGTCAAAGATCAGTTGGCTATATTTTTGAGATCTCTTCCTGGATGCTCTTACTGTCCCATTAATCTATTTGTGTATTCTTTTACCAGTTACTTACTATAACTTTACAGTAAGTCTTGAAGTCCACTAGTGTCAGTCTTCCAACTTTATTCTTCTTCAGTGTTGAGTTGGCTGTTCTATTTATTCTTCATATAAACTATTATATGTTGTTTCCAAATGATAATTTGCTGAGATTTTGGTTGGGATTGCATTGAATCTGTAAATCAAATTGGAAAGAACTGACATCTTGACAAAATTTGAGTCTTGCTATCCATGAACATGGAATATCTCTCCATTTCATTCTTCTTTGATTTTTTTTAATCCAAGTCTTACAGTTTTCCTCATAGATCTTCAACATATTTTGTTAGATTTATAATTTAAGTATTTCATTTTGGGGGTTGCTAATGTAAATTGTAATGTGCTTTTAATTTCAAATTCTATTTGTTCATTACTGGTATCTGCTTAACTTTTTAAGTGATTAATGGATGCCTGGAACTTGACCTACATATATATTCAGAAATGTTTTGCCACCTGAGACCTGTGAGGAGGTAAGCTTTGTGCTTCAATCTGTTATTAGTATTTGGGAGGTGGAGGGAGGATGTGGAAGCTGTTAGGTGTTTAATTTCAATTTATTATAATTTATCAAATTCCAACTATTTTGTCTGTATTATGGTGGAGGGCAGGAGTAAGAAAAAGAAAATTTATGTAAACATCCATGTCTTTCTCCCAAGTATCTATTCAGAGTAAAAGGTGAAAAGAATAAATACCATCTTTCAAAATAGTTCGATGTGAAGAGTTTAAGAGGAAAAGAAGATAGTTTGTCCTTAGCACAGATCTTACCATGTTGCCGTCAAGTCTGTTGCTGTCATATAGAAAACCACTTTGCATTGAAATTGTATAATAAGATCAGTCAATCGTTATATTTGCTATTTATATATATATATATATATATAATCTAAATGCTTCCTAGTTCAGGAAAGGATTTTAGAAGCTCAATAAAATTTAATTGGCATAGTAATAGGCACATATGCAGTTAATCAAAATGAAAACCAGATGCCCTCTAGAGAAAAAAGATCATTTATTTAAAAAGTAGAACTGATTATAGACAATCATTCAAATATCAGGTTTCTGGCTTCTTGGTAGCCAAGTCAAAAAAGGTAAATTTATTTGGCTCAAAGTATATAACCAAAATAAAATTTGATCTGTTCCATAAAAATAATGTCTCCATTATGTCTCCATAATGACTCCACACTTCAAATGCAGGAGACACGGGTTCAATCCCTGGTCAGAACTAAGATCCCACATGCCTCAGGGCACAATCTCACCCCAAAAAAGGACATGTCAAGTTTTAGATTACTAAAACACATTTGACACTGATTAGTACTTTTAAATAATTATGCGTTGATACGTGACTCTCTCTGTAAATGGTCACTGTTAAAAGGAGTGTCTTTAGGGGGAACAGGCTGTTTCCACCAATTCAGTTTATGATGAGGATTATCCAATAAAGGGAGACTTTCTCTCACTGAATTTATGACATAAATTGTTTAAAAGAAGAAGAAAAGAGAAACAAAAGAGGCTGTGAGATACTGGATAGCATCCCAAAAAGTTGTTGGGCAGATGTTGAGACATTCTATATGTTGTGGTATCTGATGATAGTGTTCAGCTGTAGAAAACCAGGCTAAAGTGTTGTGTCCTCTTGCTCTGATGCAAAGAGAGGCTGTAGGAGCTTGGAAGGATGGGATTTATAACACTTCCTGGGCTGTTTCCTTCAGTGATACCTGCTCCTTCACCCCCATGCCACTGATGGCAGTAAGTACTAGTTGTTGTGGATAGAGACACCGTTTTCTAGCTTTTTTGATCTCAGTCTTTAGAAAACTATATTTTAACCTATAAAAATAAAAGTTTCATAACAGTAGTTAACCTTGCCACGCATAATATCCCAGAATATTTTCTTTTCTGGGATATATTTTCTGGGTTGGTTTTTTTTTTTTTGGTGTGTTTTTCATGTTGGTCATGGATTGCTAAATTGATTTCACAACTAAGTCGACTGCACAGTCTGTGTGTGTAAATGAAGCTTCATTCGCCCCCAGCCACCTCCTTCCTTTATCTCTTGCCTGTGGCTCCTTTCCCACTACAGCAGTGGAGTTGCACAGTTGCATCACAAACCAGATGGCCCTGAAAGCCTAAAATATTTCCTCTCTGGCCCTTTACAAAAGAAGTTTCATGTGCCAGTTTTGCTCAATCTAAAGCAACACACACACACAAAATAAAGCAACACAATATTGCTTTCAGTTCAGTTCAGTCACTCAGTTGTGTCCCACTCTTTGCAACCCCATGAATCGTGGCACGCCAGGCCTCCCTGTCCATCACCAACTCCTGGAGTCCACCCAAACTCATGTCCATTGAACCGGTGATGCCATCCAACCATCTCATCCTCTGTCGTCCCCTTCTCCTCCTGCCCTCAGTCTTTCCCAGCATCAGGGTCTTTTCAAATGAGTCAGCTCTTCACATCAGGTGGCCAAAGTATTGGAGTTTCAGCTTCAACATCAGTCCTTCCAATGAACATTCAGGACTGATTTCCTTTAGGATGGACTGGCTGGATCTCCTTGCAGACCAAGGAACTCTCAAGAGTCTTTTCCAACACCACAGTTTAAAAGCATCAATTCTTCGGCACTCAGCTTTCTTTATAGTTCAACTCTCACACACATACATTACTACTGGAAAAACCATACTAAACGGACCTTTGTTGGTAAAGGTCTCTGATTTTTAATATGCTGTCTAGATTGGTCATAACTTTCCTTCCAAGGAGTAAGTGTCTTTTAATTTCATGGCTGCAGTCACCATCTGCAGTGATTTGGGAGCCCAGAAAAATAAAGTCAGGCACTGTTTCCACTGTTTCCCCACCTATTTGACATGAAGTGATGGGACCAGACGCCATGATCTTAGTTTTCTGAATGTTGAGCTTTAAGCCAACTTTTTCACTCTACTCTTTCACTTTCATCAAGAGCCTCTTTAGTTCTTCTTCACTTTCTGCCATAAGGGTGGTGTCATCTGCATATCTGAGGTTATTGATATTTCTCCCGGCAATCTTGATTCCAGCTTGTGCTTCAGCCAGCCCAGCGTTTCTCTGGTTTTTCTTACTCTTATTTCCTTGCATTAAATATCTGCTGCACAGTCATTTACTATACGTTAGCCAGACCCTGTGGTGGGAGCCTCTGAGCTCTCCTGCCCCTCTGGGTCTACCTCAGGGTTTGCCCTGAGGCCATCAGTGGCTGAGGGGAAGAGGAATACCAAGTCAGGCTCACTCCAGCAGGACACAGGTTGCCCCCAATGGATGACTGGCTGGAAGACTTACGCTGGCAGGACCGAACCCTTCTTGGGACTAGACAGCAGCCCCAGACATCCTCCCCAAGGCTCCTCCCTTCCCTTTTGCCTTCTGTAGGTGTCTGGCCTGAACCATGGTCTGAAAAGTCTCCCTACTTCCTCTCTTTCCCAGTCATTCTGTCTTGCACAGAATGCACATCTACTTCTGTCTTGACTTCTGCTTTTCAGCAGACCCAAACTAGCATAACGAACAACAGTAAATACCTGTGAAATGTTTTTCCTGCCCTCAAGGATGCCATGGTAGTTGAGGAGGATGAATACGTATCATTTCTACATTATGGTATTCTGTTCCACGTACGTGGGGTACACAGGTTGTTTTATTAAAGCTTAGAAGAGGGAAAGACTGTTTATAATGAGGATACAAGAGGGAAGGTTCTGGGGGACTGGGCACATTGCCTCCTGGCACATTGCTAGGACTGCAGTAATTAGTGAATGAGTAAGTACAATTTGGACAGACGGAAGTGGGGAACAGAAAGGATGTCTGAGAGCTTAGAAATCATGAGAAGAAAGGGAAGGACAAGGCAGATGGCCAGCAGGGCTGAAGCTGAGGGTTTCTGTCAGGAGTGCTTGAAGATCAAGTTGGAAAGATAGATTGGAAGTTATAAATACCAGACTAAGAAATGGATTTTACTCTGCAAGAGTTGAAACACCATCAAAGGTGTTTCAGTAAGGAATCCAAGGATAGTGGGATTTTAGGAAAATTAACCTGTATACAGCATGGTTAAGGAAAAGAAACAGGAGAATACTGATTAGGAGGCAGTTCAGTCCAATTTTGTGGTGGTCATTGCTGGGAAGAAGGAATAATTTCAAAGGATGTGGTAAAGTGAGAAGAAGTAAGACTTCAGGACTGACAATGAGGTGGGGCTGGTGAGCTAATTGAGGCAACAGTGGGTTTAAGGGGTTCTGCACTGGCAACAGGCAGAAAAGAGGTACCTCAGTAACAGAAATAAAGAATGTAATCCTGGACGGCACTGTCCAACTGCTTCCTTGCCTTTTGTACCCAAGCTGAGTTTAGAAGAAAAGTAATAACCTCGGCTTCTTTTTTTTAAGACATTTAAAATTTGAGAGGCTGGCAGGATAGCTAAAGTGTCCATCACACATTTGGAAATGGGGACTTAAACTCAGATAGAGAGGAAATGGAGCTGTCACTAACATTTACTTATCCTGCTTCCTACTGAGGACTTTCGGCATCTCCTTTACTGTCCAAACTCCTGTTATATAATCCTTAATACACAGCCTGTATGTTGATTTTATAGAAGGTTCAAGTATAGGTTGAAAAAAAGAAAAGTAATCTGAAAATATGATGGTGGTGCTCAGATTGTTTTGTTTTGTTTTTTAATCTCCAGAAATGATTCTATTATATCGTTTTATTTTTTGAAAATACATATTTATTTGGCTGTGCCAGGTCTTCCTTGCTGCACACGGAATCTTTTAGTTGTGCATGTGGGATCTAATTCCCTGATCAGGGAACAAACCCGGACCCCTTGCCTTGGGGTCTTCACTAAGTCCTAGCCACTGGACCACCAGGGAAGCCCCTCAATCATTGTAAAAGTAGAAAACTTCCCCAAAGATTCAGTGCACCTAATGTAGGAGACCAAAGTGGACACAGTATTTAGAGACTTCCTCACAGCCCATTGGGACTTCCCTAGTGACTCAGATGGTAAAGAATCCGTCTGCAATGTGGGAGACCTGAGTTCAGTCCCTGGGTGGGGAAGATCCCCTGGAGAAGAGCATGGCCACCCACTCCAGTATTCTTGCCTGGAGAATCCTGTGGACAGAGGAGGCCGGCAGGCTACAGTCCCTGGGGTCACAAAGAGTCGGACACAACTGGGCGACTTTCAGTTCACTTCACTTCACAGCCCATCATACAGTGAAAAAGATAAATTATTAATTCAAAAATAGAAGTCATGAAAGTGCTTCCCAGAAATTGCAAATAATTTCATTTGGATTTAAAACTACTTTTTAAAAAAAACACTCCCCGGTGAGTTATGTCAAAATTTGAGAATGAGATGTCAGGATATCTAACTGGAAAATTTAGCATGCTGGTAATGATGAAATGAACTAAAAGACATTTTATATCTCTTATGAAGCATTACAATTCTCAAACAATTTTTCACTTTAAAGATTATTCTTTTGGATATCAGGGTTTTTTTTTTAATCTGGAAAAGAAAAATGATATACAAAATTGTCATCATTTGCAGTGAAGCCAGTTTACATTTCAAGGTAGGCTTTTGAGAGGAAGTTTTATTATTATTATTAAATATTATCTTATGATGTTACATCAGAGGAATTTATAACCACTGTTTATAGAAATCCTGTAGCAATCACTGAAATCTACTCTTCTGTAGATTTCAGAAAACCACAAAGTTTTACACTCTGGTTTCTACATTGTTTCTGTGATGTTTCCCATACATAGTAATCTTAATGTTACTGTTACTTTATTCATGGGGGGATTTGTGTCTGTGTCAGTGATCCAGTGAGTAATAAATCCATATCTTTTAAAAAGGTTATGTCCAGGAAAGATATTTCCATACTGCTTTCTGTTATCAAGAGCTTTGTCAGGAGCTGAAGCCGTCAATGCCTTGAGGCCGTTTTACTTTGCTGTACATCCAGATTTCTTTGGACAGCACCCCAGGGAAAGGGTAAATATTTATTTTTCTTTATGTTTAACTTTCAGTCTATGTTTGTTTATTTACCTTTGCTACAGTGTAATACAGAGCGTTCTATAAATTGCATTTGTTTTGTCCTAGCAGTATGATCAATGCTTTGAACTAAAGACACTGGAAATTGAAACTATTGTTTTTTTATGAAAGCGGTCATATTTCTGGCAGGCAATAAAGATACCAGTTTAGGAACTTCCCTGGTGGTCCAGTGGTTAACACTTCACCTTCCAATGCAGAGGGTGTGGGTTTGATCCCTGATGGGGGAGTCTTAGATCCCACATGCCTCACAGCCAAGAAACCAAAACATAAAATAGAAACAATATTGTAACAGATTGAATAAAGACTTTTAATATGGTCCATATTAAACAAAATCTAAAAAAAAAAGATACCATGTAAACTCTGTATGTGAGTAATCATGTTTTCTGTACCAAAATTGAGCCTCAGAAAGACCACTTCTGGCCTCTGTTAGTATAATTAGTCCCTTTTTTAAGGTTGATATAAGGAAGGTTTTTCAGTGCCTGAATAGTTGCCTGCTGTTTGTCCATTTCCCCACACCATCAGTTCATGTGTGTTCAAGGAATACAAACTGATGTGAAAAATAACTCATGATAAACTTTTTTTTTATGATAAACTTAATTAGGAACACCAGTATTTTTTAACATTAGATAATATATTACAAAACCGAATGCTTTGAAATTATCTCATTGGTTCCTTTTATCTTCCTTGATACTGATAACTGGTTTAACATGAAAAGGAATTTAAAACTCTTGAAAATTAGAACATTACTGTATTGCCTTTTTCTACTTACCATGGAAAATAAATCAGTTTTACTTCTTTGCTTTAGGAAAATACTCTGCTTATGATGGTGGTTATATTGGTTGTTAGAAATTAGATCCTTTTTAACTAATTAGTAAATTGAATCAACAGCAAAATATCCACTACCTTGGAGATGTAATAAATTAATACAAATTATTGGGAATGTCAGACATGAATACAGTTTAATGTTTCACAATTTACAGTTTTTAAATCCAACATGTATGGAAAAATTAAGCTTAGTGCTAGATGATGATTTCCCTCCTCTACCAATATACCTTTTTTTTTCTTTTAACTAAAACTTTTATGTGCCGTAAAATGTGAACTCAGCAGGCTTGGGTTGCTTTGTTAGAAAGAAATGCCTGGCTTCAATCCTGGCTCTTCACTGCCTCCTGGGAGATGAGCTCTGAGCCTGGGGATATCCTTGCCTGATAAGAATGTTTCTGTGTGCCCAAAGCCTTGGGCCACACCAGACAGTTTACCCTAACAATATGAGTTATGGTAAAATGCCTAATTTCTCATGTCTGAGACCCTCTGGGGAGGCTGGAGACAAATACCTAAGGTCGGTCACGTGGGCACATAGTGCCCCAGTAAAAGCCCCAGCCCCCAAGGCTTGAATGAGCTTTTGTGGTTGGCAGCACTTCTGATGTTGTCACATGTCCCTGCTGGGATCTTAGGCACTGCCTGTAGAACGTCCCTGGGAGAGGACAGCTGGAACCTTGCACTTGGCCCCTCCTGGACTGCACCCCACACACATTTTCCTTTGCTGGTTTTAATCTGTATCCTGTTGCTGTAATAAAGTATAACCATGAGTGTAATAGCTTTTCTGAGTTCCGTAAATCCTTCTAGGTAGTAAATCATCAAACCCCCAACACAATATAGCTGAGAGTCGGTTTTTGTCTATAGAATTGTGTGTGTGTGTGTGTGTGTGGTTTTTTATGCATTGTTTCTTTAAGCTTGTTTTAAAATTGAAGTATAGTTGATTTACAGTGTGTTGATTTCTGCTATATAGCACAATGATTCGGTTATACATATGTATGTATTTTATATTTTTCATTATGGTTTATCACAAGATACTGAATATAGTTCCTTGTACTATATTGTTTTTATTATATAACTAGATTTATCAATCATTGATTACTTGAGATATTTAGTCATAGTTAGGCTTTTTCTACATCTCATTTATAAAGGAACTCAGCCATGTTTTCTTCTAATACTTTCGTAGCTACATTTTTTTTTAAATATCTCTTCTCTGTGGAGTTACATGTTGCGAGGTATGGATTCAATTTTATCCTGTACCAAGGACCTATGAAATCCCAACTTTTTTTAGTACTAAATTCTTTAATACACTCAATAGTGTGTTTAAAAGGTTGGGATATAATTTCTGATGTTTCCTTGTTCTATTTTGTACATAAATGTCTTAATATTTTTTTTCCAGGAAGTCAATGAAAATTCCCTTAAGAGATTAAGTGCCTACTTAGAAAACCTTCAGAAACCAGGCTTCAAGTCTTTGAAACCAACCCAGCTTGTGTTTTATGTAAGAGAAACAGATCAGCATCCCTCTGATGGCCAGGAACACTTCAGCACTTCTGGTACATGTCTTATTTCTCATATGTCCCTTGCACTCTTGCAGGCTTCATTTGGTATGAGTTCATTCTGCCTAAAAGTTGCTAGAAGACCTCTGGAATGAAGCCTTGTCATAGAAAGTAATATCATTTAATCAAGAGTTTTCCTGGAGTTAGATTTTATTCCTGGCTACTTCTGTTCGATGAGCCTCCTTTTTTTTTTCCTTAAGGATAGTTGCTTTACAATGCTGTGTCAGTTTCTGCTGTATGACAGAGTGAATAAGTTATATGTACACATACATCTCCTCCCCCTGAGCACCCCCATCCCAGCCCTCTAGGTCATCGCGGAGAACAGAGCTGAGCGCCCCATGTGGTACGCACCTTCCCAGTAGCTGTTTTATGTATGGCAGTGTGTATATGGATGAGCCACTTTTTATGTTTAAACTTTTTTGACTAGAATACTAAAATGTTTCTGTTTGTCCCCTTCCTGTTTCAGTACTGTTTTATTAAATGTGTATATGACAATTTTTTTTTTTTAATATAGCTTACCTTATCTAGTCCTCAGAGTACCCTGTGAGGTACCTAGTATTTGCCCAGTTGTAACTTAGTAATGTTCCAGGACCATGGAGACAGAATAAGGGTCTCTGAACTCTCTAACCCCAGCCTCATACTATTTCTAAAATCTGATCAGTCTAAATATACAGCTTTCTGTTTGGTCCTTTGTCACCACTTTGCATGTCCAACTCTTTGGGATCCCATGGACTGTAGCCCACCAGGCTCCTCTGTCCATGGAATTCTCCAGGAAAGAATACTGGAGTGGTTTGCCATTTCCTGCTCCAGGGGATCTTCCCTACCCAGGGATTGAACCCAGGTCTCCTGCACTACAATGTAGGCAGAATCTTTACCTTCTGAACCACCAGGGAAGTCCTAGTAATACTTAAAACTAAGGGTAAATGTAGGTCCGTTATTCTCTAAATATCCATCCTTTTTGTCATTCTTGAGGAAATAACTCTTTTAGAATAAACTTTAAAACAATTTAAAGATTTACTAAGAGTTTTCTGTGAATTAATGCTAAAACAAATAGCTGTAGTCAGCTTTGGCTGAGTAAAGAGAAAAATCCTCTACTTTCAGTTAATGGTTAACTTTGAACCATTTACTAAATAAAAGTAGATTGTGAAAAATAATTAAGAGATGAGAGAAGACATAGCATAAGTGAGAAAAAGATAATGTTAGTATATAAGGAGTTTTTAGGTGTCAGAAAAAAAAAGAGTAGCTCAGTTACAAAGACAGGCAAACAGTGTCTCGGCACTTCAAGAAATAATACCTATACATAGCCACTGGGTCTCCCCAGGTGGCTCGGGCAAAGAATCCACCTGCCAAGCAGGAGATGTGGGCTCCATCCCTGGGTGGGGAAGATCCCCTGGAGGAGGAAATGGCAACCCACTCCAGTATGCTTGCCTGGGAAATCCCATGGACAGAGGAGCCTGGTGGGCTACAGTCAATGGGGTTGCAAAGAGTCGGACACAACTAAGTGACTAAACAACAAGTAGCCAATACGCACATAAAAATGTTTAGCTTTAGTAATCAATGCAAACTAAGTTAATTAGATAATATTCCCAATAAAGGAGGCATGCAATCTGGCACAGGCATTCCAAACTATGTAGCAGCTCTTACATTGAATTAAGTGATTAATGGAGTTGGTAAATTAAGAGAGAAATTGAGATTTACTCCTTGACTCATCTCTTCTGAGGATAAACTATTTCTTCCGAACCTCAACTGCAGGAACTTGGATTTTCCTTTCCTCTTTCACTGCCTAGAATAATTCTACAAATATTTTTCTCACATTACCATCAGTGATTTGACTAAAAACTCTTTCTCAGTTTGCATGTTCTAGACTCTGTAAATCTGTATGGCAGGCAGAATAGGTATCTCTGAGAACAATCTAGACTGTGATGACTGTCATCAGTGGCAAAGACATGAAAAAAAACACATTTCAGCCTTGAATGGAACGGTGAAAAATTAAGAACAATTTTTATGCCCATCAGTTTCAGAAGTGTAAAATAAATTATGCTCCATTCATTATGTGGATTAGCATAGCACTACTAAAACAAAAGAGGTTGACATACACATACAGATATGGAGAAGTCCCCCAGGTTAAATAACAAGAGCAAATTCGAAGTAATACCTGCAGAATGGTGTAGTTTATATGGGGCTTCCCTGGTAGATTAGACAGTAAAGAATCTGCCTGCAATTCAGGAGACCTGGGTTCAATCCCTGGGTCAGGAAGATCTCCTGGAGAAGGGAATGGCAACCTACTGTAGTATTCTTGCCTAGAGAATTCCATGGACAGAGGAACCTCCAAGCTACCATCTATGGAGTCACAAAGAGTCGGACACAGCTGAGTTTATATGTTTAAATGGAGCGGTTCACACCAAAGGGGTGTGTGTGTGCAAAGACATAAGTGTGTATGTCATGTGTAACATGCATACGAAGCACATAGGAAAGGTCAAGAGCAGCGCTATTTCAGAGAACCTTCTTCGGTGATGTCACGCGTATGTGTGTATGCATGTCTGGTACAGCCGGCACTGGCCCAGTATGGCTCCTGAGCACTTGAAGTGGAGCTAGTATGACCAGGAACTGAATTTTAAATTTAACTTAATTTTAATCAATTTAATTTTAAATAGCCACATATGCCTAGTAGCTACCATATAAGGTAGTATGTACTTGAATGTTAATAAGATTGTATCTAGTGAAATTGTGTGCCTGTCAACAGACTTTTACTTTATACGTGTCATTTTACAATAAGGATGTACTTATATAATACTTATGTAATTTTTAAAACCAATTTTTAAAAAATTTTGAAGAAAAAGGGGTCAGCATGTTATTTATAGTGGGGAAAATGCTTGGCGTGGTGTTGGCTCAGATGTAAACCCTCACTCACTATTCTTAACCCCTTGAGCCTATGCTTCTTCACATTTCAAAGGAGATAATAATGGCACCCAATGTGAAGGCTGATTGAAAAGTGATACACATTCAACTACTGCCAAGTTTAAAAACCAATAAGTAGTGAGGGAACCCAGTAGATTTCCTGTTGTTGACTTAACAAGTTAGATTACTAGTCTGAGCACAGTGACTACCTGTATTAAAATCAGATTGTGAAGTGCTGACTTTTAAAAAATTAGGGAATTTTGAGTCACTTCTGAAAATACTGAGTCACAAGATGGGGATAGGGGAGTATAAGCACAGTCACTTTTAATCATAGAGAAAATTTGAGGTGAGTTTCTGTGACCCCTTCTACGAACCACTGTCCCCGTCAGCCTCCCCTGCCTCTACCCTTCCCCTGGGCCTTAAGCCCTGGAGACTCTTTTTGGTGGACACTTGCTTGTAGGAGAACTTTCCCATTCCTTAGACTGTAGAGATACAATTTATGAACAGCATTGAAAAATATTCTCAATCCTCTTTTTGGGCCGGGATCACTGGTGCCAAACTAGAAAAGGGAGCTGTCAGAGAACTTCATAAATCAAGAGAGTATGGTACAGTTCTTGAGAGGGGACATCATTTTCCATTTACAGATGATTTTTCAATAGAATGAATTTTAATTGGTAATGGAGTGTTTTAAAAGATTTTGATTCTATAAATGTTGTATGAAAAAAATGTTTTTAAAGTAAAGCAAATAATCATCTGTATTAACTGTTTGGGGGAATTATATTCTCTAGGATTTCGAGCAGTCAAATTTACTTTGCACACCAGAGATCTGCTAAGCACAGTATTATATATTCTCAACTCCTGCAGTTTATCTATTGAACATGTCCAAAGCTTGAATACTAATGTGCATTCCCAGCCTCTCAAAGAGGCCAAAAGGACATCTGACAGGCCCATCAAATGGGACAAGTCTTACTACTCCTTTACTGGATTCAAAGACCCTGATGAAGACCTCGAGCAAGTCTGGAGAACGGAAACAACCCTAACGTATGTAAAAGTTTTTACTTACCTGATGTTTATGTTTAAAATTATAGTCTAAGATCCTGGTGATCCAGTGGTTAAGGCTCTGAGCTTTCATTGCAGGGGGCAGAGATTCAATCCCTGGTTGGGGAACTAAGATCCTGCATGCTGTGCGGTACATGCAAAAGAAAAAAAATTTAATTGAAAAAATAAAACTAAAAGTTTAATTTTCCAGGAAAAGTAATGCTATCAATGTAGTTAACCCAGTAATCATTACAAAAAGAGATATTTCATGCTTCCTACTCAAAGTGACCAGAATACTTCTAATGGTATTTGATTTTTTTTTTTTTTTTTTTTTGGCCTTTTCATACCAAACGCAGAAAATTGTTTTGTTTTGAGTATGAGCTAGAAGAGAGTGTCTCAGCCTTACATGCACTGGATTCCAGCCCATGAGGCTTCTGCTTACACCGTTAGGAGGGTATTGCTCTGCTTACACCCTTAAGAGGATATTCCTCACAGTATGCCGAGATAAACCAAAGCTTGGGAATGTGTTACCTATACCTTTTCAGTGTAGAAAAAAGTGGGATTGGATAAGTCAGAGCAAAAGAACAAGAATAAGATTTGTTGCACCGTTAAATCAACAGGCTTAAGAATAACCTATTAAAAAAATTCAGAGAAGCAATTAGCCTGCGGTTCAGTTGAGTGTTTCATGGGGTACAGTTTTGGTCTGGTGCTAAATGTGTAACCATTTTGAAAAGACTGTTCCAGAGACCCTGAACTTGGAGTTAGTCAGCTGGCAAACTAATGAAAAAAGATTGGAACTGGGAAAAGCCAGTTCCCCGAGATAACTGCTATTTCACTGGTTTCTTGTACAAGCCAAGTATAATTTCCTTACTTGAATGTAGTTCATCTAGTAAAATTCTTGAGTCTTTAATAAAAGACTTTCTTACATTATATTATATTATACTATTAATAGATAATGAGTTTTTAAGGGTAGGGACTGTGTTTTAATCATCTCTCTTTCTAATACTAATCTGCTTCACAGATTCATAAAACCTTTCCAGCATTTTTATTAACACTGAATTAAAGAACCGTTAAATAAGTGTGACTGTGAAGTGCTGTAGGCTCAGTATGGAGAACTCAAGGTTTAATATGGAAATGTAAAGTAGCTTAATACAGATGATAGCAGTAGAGTGACTCAGCAATGGATGCAGAGGGCCCATTTGGAGGGGGGGGTGGTGGAACAGTGCCTCTGTTAATTTCACTAGTGTTGACTTAGTAAAAGTATCTGCTGTTTTAGTAAGAGATACATTATCTTAAGGAAAATTCCTGAGTGTAAATGAGTTGTGTTACTATGAATTCTTGTTACTATGAATTTTCTCCATAGGTGTTTTTAATTGATGCTCTCATGGATTCTTTGCCATTTGAACCACCAGGAAAGCCCAATAATAACCAGCGCTAGCTCAAATCATGTCATTTTGACTTGTCTCCTCTCAAAGAAGATAACATAAATTGAGTAAACCATTGTTTCAGAAATTGAAGTCAGTGGAAATTTAACATTCTAATTTATTGACAAAATGCAATATCCATTGGTATGTATCTTGTCAATGAAGTAAACCCCATTATTAGCTATATAGCTTTTCTTAGTTTTGGCAAGTGAAATTAATGATACAGCATTACATGTTTTAACATGTTTTAGCCTTGTTTATAATAGATCTTGCAGTCCCCTTAAAACTGATTTAATGGGGAAGAATGACTACATGTATATGTATGGCTGAGTCCCTTCACTGCTCACCTGAAACTATCACATAGATAGATCTAGTATCTACATAGATAGATAAATGCCAACTGTAGAACCTTGATTTTTTGTCTCAGGGTTTAGAAGCAAAACACAAAAATTGTTAAACTAGGCCACTTAAATTTTATACATTAAATGTAAGAATTCAAATAATCAGGTCATGAATATATAATCATAAGATTCTATTTCAGTCCACATTTTAAGACATTTGGTCCCAGAAGGAAACATGGTATTTGCTTGATAATTCATTTGTCTACAAATCATCCTTTTTCTTGCCTAATTTAAGTTAAATTAATATGTATTATTTAATAAATGAGGGAAAATGGAAAAATTGTAATAGCGAATATTCATGACATAAAGTAAGATATTTTACTTTTCTTATTTCTCACACACCATGCAGAAGTGACAAAGTCTTTACCAATATTCTTAAAGGGAGAGTAGGAAGAATTATTAACAGCTGCACACAATTAGTGAATCAAAAAAATGTGGAATGTAGGGACTCCCCTGGCGGTCCAGTGATGAGGACTCTGCACTTCCACTGCAGGGGGCCGAGTTCACCTCTGTCCAGGAGCTAAGATCACTGCAACGGCCAAAAAAAAGACGTAGGACACCTTTACTTAAGAGTGCAAGGTCCCAGTTCCTCATCACAATGTGCAAGACATTTTATGATCTCCCTCTCTGTCACACACATGCGCACACACACACACACACACACACACCTCTCCAGTCTCATCTCACACCCCACCCCACCCCCAGGCATTGTATGATCTGGTTCATCTCACAGTTCCCTATGTACTAGCCTCGTGGGCATGCCCTTTGCTCTCACTAATCCTCCTGGGAACACCTGATCCATCTCTCAGGTTCCAGGTCACTTATCACCTGCTCTGTAGAACTTTCCAGGCAGAAGTAATTCATTCTTCCTTTGTTCTCATAGAAGCTCATATATTCTCTTCCAGTTGCTTATCTCTCTACTCCTTGCTAGATGTGTCTTCCTTATACTGTTAGGCCTTCAGGATAAATATTTGAGTGGTTCTGAGAGTTTCAACTTGATTTTCTTTTTTTGGCCACACCACATGTCTTTCAGGATCTTAGTTCCCCAACTAGGAATCAAACCCATGCCCTGTGTGGAGTCCTAACCACTGGACCACCAGGGAATTCCCTCAACTTGATTAGTGTTTAAATATTGTAGATTACAACATCTAAAACCTTTAAAGTGACTATTAAAAAGAACCCTAAGAAGGTTTACTTGACAGGCATTTTTGAGATGGACAAATGAGCCTTTCTGCACCATTATCATAACACCTGACTGTCACTGACAGGTGTCCAGTGGGGTGTCACATGTCCTGGGCGGTGGGGGGGGGGGGTGCGCTTTAGACCATCTTCCCCCAGCCTCCCTGGAGCTTTCTCTTTCTCAGCTGTACCCAGGGCCCACTCCACCTCCACCCAGAATGTTCCTCTGGTCCTGGAGTCTCCTTGCTATTCTACCACGGCCACTCCGGCAGCAGCCTTTCGGCCTCCCAGGCACGACCCAGGCCTTGTCTGTGCAGACTCCCCTCAGGAAAGAGAGGCCGGGTGGCAGAGCCAGCATGCCCATGCCGTGCCCGTGATGACGCTGAGGGAGAGGCCGCCTCGGAGGGGGAGCGGGAGGAGTGTGCTGTTGTACAAGGCCACCTCGGCTGCCTTCAGCTCTGCTCTGAAAGCTGCCCCCTTCTAACCCCTAGGCAGACTTTGACGTTCGTTTTCTCTTTTAAGACTTCACTAAGGTAAACGTTCTCAGAAATGCAGATTTAAGAGAACAGCTTTCTGCTGAGCCCGTGATGTAGTTGTAGGAGAACGATAAAGGTGGGGAGAGGTGAGACTGGAGCGGCCTCTCAGTTGGGTGGAAAGAAACCAAGGGGCAAACAGGCCCACTTGGGAGGAGGAGGTGGGCGCTGACTGGTCAGGTCTGAGCAGTGGGAGCCTTTGGACAGAGAGGTGGGGCGGGAGGCAGGGTTTGCAGTGAGCTGAGAACTCAGGGTGCTAATAGACAAGATGAAGACCAAGGAAGAAACTGGATCTACCCAGTTAGAATCCATAGAGTTACCTTCTCAAGTTCCTTCATCAGGAAATAGTGCCTCTTAAATGACACCAGTACCATTTGGTACGTCTTCTGACTTGACTTTTTCACCACCTGGCTACACAACCATATCATTTGCTCTAGTTGGGGAAGGGGTAGCCCTGCCCTCGCATGGAGATGACTGAGGTAAGTGAAGGCCTAGTAGAACCTTCTGAAAAGGCAATAAACATAATGGAGGTTTAATTTTTTTTAACTTATTTATTTTTTAATGCTTTTATTTTTTTTTACTATTCTTTATTTTTTGGCCACACTGCAGGGCATGCAGTATCCTAATCCCCAAACCCAGGATCAAACCCATGATCCCTGCAGCAGAAGCACAGAGTCCTAACCACTGGATCACCAGGGAATTCCTAAATATTCAGCCTTTTGGGGGCAAGGAGGCTGGGACATGCAGAATCTTGATTCCCCAGCAAGGGATCAAACCTGCACCCCCTGCTTTGGAAGCATGGAGTCTTAACCCCTGGACCACCAGAGATGTCCTTGAAGCATCTTTGATTTTTAAAAAATCACTCCATCTCTGGAAGTCTAGTAAAAAGCTTGGTGTAATGCAAGTTTAATTTTTTTGATAGGCTAAGGAAGTTCTCATAACTAAAATATGATTAACAGGTACTGGCAGTTCTCCAAGAAGCCTGTTTTAGAAGTAGGAGTTTACTCTAAAAGTAGACTTGGCAGGACTATTTATAACTTGGTAAAGGTTTGATAGGAAACTCGGTTTAACATTGGGGCTGCTTTAAGGTAATGAACACGTGTTTCAATAGTAGAAATGTTTGCATTATAGTTAGTATTGCAAAGTGTACATCTGTGTTTTTTTTTTTTCTTTCTAGTTCCTGGTTAGATAACAATGGGAAAAGTGCTATTAAAAAGCTGAAGAATAGTTTGCCACTTAGAAAAGAACTAGATCGTTTAAAAGATGAACTGTCTCATCAGTTGCAGCTGTCAGATATCAGGTAATGAAGAAGAGAAAACCTGATTTATAGATTAAAATAAGTGTGTGTTACCTATTGGTAAAGGTTTCTAACAGTTAAATATTTGCATCTTTAATTATTCTGTTCACTAAATACTCAATTATCTTTATGAAACTAATCAAATGTTTATCTAAGAAAACCATTATGAATTTCTAATTGAAAAAGTGGAGTAAGGTTTAGATACTGACATTTTTAGCATAATAATTTTTTTAGCATAATAACATACTGGATTTATAAGAAAAATATACTTTTCCATGTGCATATAATATATAAAAATCAGTATTTCTCCCTCATATAAGATTGGTATTTGAGTTTAAAAAGAGAAAAGGAGGACTTCCTTGGTGGCTCAGTAGGTAAAGAATCCACCTGCAATGCAGGAGACACAGGAGATGCAGGTTCGATCCCTGGGGAGGGGAGATCCCCTGGAGAAGGAAATGGCAACCCACTTCAGTATTTTTGCCTGGAGAATTCCATGGACAGAGGGGCCTGGCGGGCTACAGTGTATAGGGTCACAAAGAGTTGGACACATCTGACTAAACAACTAAAGAAAAAAGAGAAAGGGAAAGAAAAAAAAAAGTTGTATTCTTTGGTTCTATGTTATATAGCATGACTTTTAAAAATTTTTTAAATTGAGATATAGTTGATATATAGTGTTATACTAGTTCCATGTGTTTTACCTAATAATTCATTACTCATATTCGTTATTGACATCTGTCATCATACATAGCTAGGAAAATTTTTTTCTTGTGATGAGAACTTTTAAGATCTACTCTTTAATCAACTTTCAAAATACAATACAGTATTATTATTAACTGTAATCACCATACGACTTTTTTAAAAGTTTTCATAAACTTAGAAATCATTTGCTGAAGTTTATGATAAAATAGATTTAACAGCTGCAGCCCTAAGGAGTGGGTGATGTGATTCATTCATGGGCCTCCCTGAGGTATTGTCATCTGGCCTGGTGCTTAAACTTCTGTGACCATTTTGCTGCAGCCTGTTTTGCTTTCAACCATCATCATGAGGACTGTTTTCTTATATTGAACCACATGACTATTTGGATACAGTGAAAGTGAAGTCGCTCAGTCATGTCCGACTGTTTGCGACCCCGTGGACTGTAGCCTACCAGGCTCCTCCGTCCGTGGGATTCTCCAGGCAAGGATACTGGAGTGGGTTGCCATAGCACCTTTATGCTGTGCTTGCAGAATCACATAGTACTTATACATTCTTCTGTATTTGAATCATAATTGTTGAAGATAATTCAGATTTATAAGGAAAGTGTTTACACTTGGAGCTTTCCAGGAGTCAGGCAGGTGGGGGTGAGTATGCGCCTCCCTCTGGGGGGACACGGGTGGTAACGGGCCTGTGTGCTCTGTTGGACCAGGTGGCAGAGGAGCTGGGGTGTCGCCCACCGCTGCAGCCAGCTACACAGTTTAGGCCGCTTAGCCCAGCAGAACTTGGAAACCCTTAAAAATGCAAAAGGTAAACACTTTCCATTCACTTCTGAAATCCATATCCCTTAACAGCTATACAAATCTGTAAATTCTAGAGGAAAACTGTTGAAAGTCTTTGTAGATGTGACTTGATCTCAGCTGAATTGTTAAGTCTGTTCCTTTGAATGAAACAATAACTTCTACCAAGTTTACTCCTGAATTGATACATGAAATGTAAGTAATTATTTGCACAGTGCTAAAAAAATGAAGCCTCTCTGGACAGTGACCAAAGGGTTTGTGTTTTATCATCAGGATGTACAATAATATTTACAGACCGGTCCGGGATGAGTGCAGTGGGCCATGTGATGCTAGGAACAATGGATGTCCATCACCACTGGACAAAAGTAAGAAAAAGCTTAAAAGCAAAACAAAAAAAAAGATTTGTCTTCCACATACTTTTGTTTCAGAAAACTGCTTATGTCAGCAAACTAAAAAAAACTTTGAATCATAGTTTCAGCTGTTTGCAGAGCAGATGCTTTATATTTAGTAGTTTAAATTCTTAGATGACTGATTTTTAAGTCCATTTTTATTTGGAAAATTTTACAGTCTTTTCTAAAGCACAGCCTAAAGGCCTGCATTCTATTGGGTTTTTTGGTTTTCTTTTTAATGGATGTACTGTGTATAATTGACACAATAGACTGTGCATATTTGGTGGGTATAGTTTGATGAGATATGACATATGTAAATACCTGTGAAACCATTACTATAATCAAGAGAGTGAACACATCCATTACCCACAAAATTATGTGCATGTCCCTGTGTAAACCCTCTTGTCCATCCCACCACCCCCTCCCAAAGCAGCCACTGGTCTGCTTCCTGTCACTGTAGATTAGTTTATATTTCTAGCCTTGTATCTAAGTAGAATCACAGTATGTTGGGAAGGATCTGATTTCTTTCAGTCGGCATAATTATTTTGAAATTCATTCATGCTATTGCATGTATCAAGAATTATTTATTTTATTTCCCCGAAGTATTCTGTCCTGTGGATATATACCATTTTTTTTTCCATTCACTTATTGATGGATTTTGGGTTATGTCAGCTTTTGATCACTTAAAAATAAAGCTGCTATAAACATTTACCTACAAAGTTTAAATGAACATATACTTCCTTTTCTTCTGGGTAAATACCTGAAAGTGGAATGGCCAGATGTGTTAGGGTATTTTAACTTTTCAAGTAACTGCCAATACTTCCTTTGGTGACCCTTTTATTTATTTATTTATTTATTTATTTATTTATTTATTTATTTATTTATTTAAATCTCACTGCATGACACGTAGGATCTTAGTTCTCTGACCAGGGATCGAACCCATGCCCCTACATTAGAAGCATGGAGTCCCAGTAACTGGACCACCAGGGAAGTCCCTGCTATGGTCATCTTTTTATTTTTAGCCATTCTAAGAGGTGTGTGGTTTTATTTCATTGTGGGTTTTTACATTTCTCTAATGATGAATGGCAGTGAGCACCTTTTCATGTATGTATTTGCCATCCATATGTCTTCTGTGAAATATCTGTTCATATCAAATATCTGATAGAAGATATTTACAAACCACCTATCTGACAAAGTCTAACCCTAACCCTTTGTATCTAAATATATAAAGAACTCTCAAAACTCAATAGATTAAAAATAAATAAATAAACAATAGTTCAGTTAGAAAATGGGCCGAAGACATGAACACACATGTCACAGAAGAGGACATACAGATGACAAATAAGCTCATAAAAAACCATAGAGAAAAGCAAATTAAAACTACAATGAGATACCACTGCACACCTGTCAGAATGGCCAAAATGAAAAGTAATGACCACCACATGCTGGCAAGGATGCAGAGAAACTGGATCCCTCGTCCATTCCTGTTGAGCATGTGAAATGGCACAGGCACTCTGGAAACGAGTCCGGCAGTTTCTTAAAATACTAATAAACATGCTTACCATGTGGTTTGGCAGCTGCCCTGTTCCTCTTAGGCATTTATACGAGAGAAATGAAAAGGTATATTCACACAAAAACTGTACATAAATGTTTATGACAGCAAACACAAACTGCAGCACATCCATGCAACAGAATGTCATTCAGCAATAAGGAGTGAACTGCTGATACAGTCAAGATCTTGGGTGGATCTCAGGGGCATTGTGCGATATGAAAAAAGTCAGTCTCACATGATTACATGCTATATGATACCATTTATATAACATTCTTCAAATAGTAAAATTAAAGAACAGATCAGTGGTGGCCAGGGATCAGGAGTTGGGGGGAGCAGAGGTGTTGGTGGCTATGGAAGTGTAGCAGAGGGGATCCTTGTGATGCTTCTGAGTTTGCACATGCTTTTTCTTCTCCTGAAAGTTTCTCGCATGCAACTGACCTTCTCTGCTCTTTTTTTTTTTTTAATTGAAATACAGTTGATTTACAACATTGTGTTAGTTTCTGGCTTACAGGAAAGTGGTTCAGTTATATATACATATATGTATTCTTTTTCATATTCTTTCTCATTATGGTTTATTACAGGATACTGAATATAGTTCCCTGTGCCAAACAGGACTTTGTTGATATTTTACATAGCAGTTTATCATACTAACGCCAAACTGCTAATGTATCCTCCCGTACCTCCTTTTCCTTAGACAAACTCTTGTTTGTCTTCTATGTCTGAGTCTGTTTCTGCTTCATAAATAAGTTTATTTCCATCATATTATTGATCCCACATATAAGTGATACCATATGGTATTTGTCCGACTTACTTCACTTAGCATAATCATCTCTAGCTCCATCCCTGTTGCTGCCAATGGCATTATTTCATTCTTTACTGTGGCCAAATAATATCCCATTGTGTGTGTGTGTGTGTATATATACACACACACACACACACACACACATATATATATATATATATACACCACATCTTCTTTATTCATTCATCTGTCAGTATAGACATTTAGGTTGTTTCTATATCTTGTCTGTCATAAGTAGTGCTGCTATGAACACTGGGGTACATGTATCTTTTTTATAGTTTTTGAAGGAATTTCCATAATGTTTTCCATAGTGGCTGCACCAAGTTACATTCCCACCAGCAGTGTAGGAGGGTTCCCTTTTCTCCACACCCTCTCCAGCACTTGTTATTTGTAGACTTTCTGATGGTGGCCATTTTGGCCGGTGTGAGGTGGTGTCTCATTCTAATAGTGAGGATTTGCATTTCTCCAGTAATTAGCAACACATCTAACCTCTAAATCCTCTTTATCTTTTATTGGTTACATCAGATGTCCTTAGGAACCTTTGCTTGACTCTCCCTGTCCCTTCACCCTAATGTGGCATTTGTTATGCTTTATTCTGATTCCTGTTTTGTTTCCCTGCACCCTGACCATGAGCCCCTGGCAAACAGGGGCACAAACTCTTAATCTGTACACTCCAAGGGCCCATTTTGGTGCTTTAATTCACTTACAGATGCTTCATAAGTGAATTTAGTTGAACTAAAGTAAATTCTGAAGAAACAAACTTGGAGTTGAAATACATAGAATTTATTTCATTATACATTCATTATACCATTTAATTTGTCTAAACTAAGATTTCTACTTGAATATTTGCATATTAGTACTTAGGATTTATTTTTATTTGAAACATATTTCTTTTCTTTTGCAATCCCTTCAGTTCCTATCTAAAAGTCTCTAAGATTTACAGTGGTTTGTTTTGAATATTAATATTTCCAGCATTCCATAGTCTTTTTCTTATCACTTACTTGAACTTTCCCTAGAGGAAAAAAATTTTCTTGTTAGAATTTCTCATACCATTGATTGGAGTCCTAAATTTGGACTCTTAAAGTAACAAAACTAAATATTCCTTCCTTTTCCTTTTTTAAATACTGTAGCTTTTTGAAAGATTACCAAGTTATTTTGACCTGCAGAGGAGGCTGACACATTTGGAGGACCAAATAAGCTATCTTCTTGGTGGCATCCAAGTTGTTTATATTGAAGAATTACAGCCAGTGTTGACACTTGAAGAATATTACTCTCTTCTTGACGTGTTCTATAATAGACTCTTGAAAAGTCGAATACCTTTTCACCCTCGAAGTCTGCGTGGGTTACAAATGATCCTTAACAGGTTTGTATCTAAAACAATTACTTTGATTCATTTACTCACACCAGTTGTATATGTATTGCATGAAATTGTTTTGTATTTCCGTGTGTGATTCTTAGAAGTTAAAGAAAGGAATGTTACTGCCTCCATTGGCAACACTTTTTACCCATGAGATAAGTCAACATGAGAGGATTAGAAAGATTGAGTTTCTCAAACATTCTGGAAATTCATTGCCACTTACAGGGCAAATCAGTCCTGTGGAAAACTCTATAGGATTAAACTAATGTGAAATCAACAGTGTGCATTTCAGGCACTGTGCTTGGAACTTAAATGCATTCTCTCTCTCTAGCTCTCAGAACCTCACCACAGAGTAGGTTTCTGCCCCCATCTTACAGATGAGGAAGGTCACAGGAAGTATATAGTCATCCTGATAAAATGTGTCTCTTTGGGGTGCTGTACCTTTAAAGTGGATTTTCTTAATGAATTCCTTTTCCATTAATCAGACTAATAAAACCATTCCTTCAGGGATGGAACAGGGAATGGAGAGATGGCTGATTTTTCCTTTTATGTATACTTTATTACAGTGACAGATATGCCCCAAGCTTGCATGAACTCGGGCATTTTAACATCCCAATCCTTTGTGATCCAGCAAACCTCCAGTGGTTTATTCTCACCAAAGCCCAACAGGCAAGAGAGAACACGAAGAGAAAAGAAGAGTGAGTACTCTTAGCCCTCTTCCTGTCTTACCATTCTAATCTAGTCAAATATTTTAAAATATTCAGGTATTCAGAAAGGTGGGGTGGAGGGATAAGTTAGGAGGCTGGAGTTAACGTATACATTAGTATACATATAAAACAGATCATTAACACACACCTACTGTGCAGCCCTGGGAACTCTGCTCAACCCTCAGTAACAACCTGTATGGGAAAAGAACCCAAAAGAGAATAAGGTGTATGTGTGTATAAAACTGAATCACCTTGTGTGACAGAAAAGAAACACATAGTGTATAGTGTAAATAAACTATACCCCAGTAGAAAATACGAATTCCATGATAAGAGAAAATACAAATGCCTATTCTCAACCCCTCTATCTTGATGGGCTATGCTGGTGTCACATCTGAGGGGCCTGAGCAGGCACGGGTCCCAAGGGTGGACTGTCTCCTGGCTGAGGGAGGTGGGAGGATGTGTAAGTAAATAAGCCCTTCCCAGGATCTGGAGGGCCTAGTCCTCTGTGCGTGGGACCTCAATCTTCAGATCCAGGCTGGCCCTCCTCCACCCACACGAAGCCTCCTGTCGCCCACAAATGCTGGACGGCTCCGTGCTGGAGGAGCTTTGCAAAGTCACCCTGTCTCCATGTCGCCTGGTGCTGGGGTTTCCACTTCCAAGCTCCTTCCTTAGAGTTGCTCCACCTACATGACAGCAGCCTCAGCATCAGCGATTTGCTGGGGTTAAGATTTTTTGGAGGGTGATAGGTAAGGGGAAAAATGTAATGGGACACAAGCCCTTCCGTGTTGGTTCAGGCACTTTCCACTCCAATTTAGAACCTAGGAACACAACTTCTAGGGCTCTGGTTGCCCAGGGAAGCAGAATTGGGCATGAAAAAATGCTGCTTCCTTGTGTGGCCACTTCTCGTAACAACAGCTCCCAACCAGAGCTGATGGACACTTAATATTCACAAGGCCTGCAGGGCTGTAAATGACACCTGCCTTCAAGAAATGTCCTTGCAGTAGGTAGTTGAAAGAGATGTCAAAACAGGGCAGACTTTCAAGAAGCCAATCTCAAACTGTTTAAGAAAAAAAGTACATGAAAAGATGCTGAACATCATGAAATACTAGAGAAAAGCAACTCAAAACTACAACAAGGTATCTCCTTGCACCTGTCAGAATGGCCATCATCAAAAAATCTACAAACCATAAATGCTAGAGAGAATGTGAAGTAAAAGGAAACCTCCACCATGGGTGGGAATGGAAATTGGTAACAACCGTTGTGGAGAACAGTATGGAGGTTCTTTGAAAAGTAAAACTAGAGCTAGCATATGATCCAGTAATGCCACTCCCGGAATCACCCAGAAGAAACCTATGTATCCAGAGAAAACCGTCCTTCGAAAAGGAAGGAATGCACCCCAGCATTCATTGCACCACTGTCTACAATAGCCAAAACACGGGAAGCCACCAAAATGTCCCATCAATAGAGGAATGGGTAAAGATGCAGTACATGTAGCAGTGGAATATTACTCAGGCATAAAAGACAATGAAATAATGCCATCTGCAGCAACATGGATGACCTAGAGATGATCAGAGAAAGTGAAGTAAGTCAGACAAAGACAAGTATCATAGGCTGTCACTTACAGGTGGAATCTAAAAATTGATACCAAAAAACTAATTTACAAAACAGACTCCTAGACCTAGAATATTGAGTTATGGTAAAAGGGAAAAGGTAAGGGAGAGGATAAATTAGGTGGTTAGGATTAAGATATACACACTAATTTATATAATCAACAAGGACCTAATGTGGAGCAAAATACTCAACACTCTTTGTCATAAGCTATATGGGGAAATAATCAAAAAAAGAGTAGATACAAGTGTATGTACAACTCAGTTTAGTTGCCCTATAGCTACTGCAAACACAACGTTGTAAATCAAGTATACTCCAAAAATTTTTTTTAAGAAATGGGAATTTCCTGGTGGCCCACTGGCTGAGACTGCCCTCAATGCAGGGGGCCCAGGTTCAATCCCTGGGTTGGGGAACAAGATCCCACATGCTGCAGCTGAGACCCAGTGCAGTCAAATAAGTAAATATTTAAAAAAACAAAAATGGGAGGACCATTTTCAGTGTTGAGAGTAGAAACTAACAGCCCAATATACAAAAAATGGTTTTTACATTTTATTGTTGTTTTATTTGGTTATAGCTTGTAGCAATCATATGTTTTGTTTTTGACATAACAGGTTGAAGGTCATTGAAAACAATTTGATGCAGGCTTCCACGAAGAAATTCTCTCTGGGAAAGTTTTACAAGGAGCCCAGCGTTTCCAGTATACAGATGGTGGGCTGCTGTAAGAGACTTCTGGAGCAATCGCTGCCTTACCTACAAGGGATGCACCTCTGTGTCTCACATTTCTACTCTGTCATGCAGGATGGAGACCTTTGTATTCCTTGGAACTGGAAGAATGGGGAAGCCATTAAGTAACACAGAAATCTATATTATTTTTTAAAGAGGAAAGAAACTTATACTTATTTAAAATCCACAACTTGATATAACAGTATTATTTACATGTTACAGGAACAGAGTTTCTAATTGCTGCTTTGGAAGTAGACTTTTTAAATTAATTTCTATTAGGAAACTTGTTTTTAAAAGGTTTTACCTGCCAATGCTTTCTTATTCACCCCACCCCCCCGCCAGATAGTGTTTATCTGATTGGCAGGACTGGCAGAAAAGATGATAGAAAGAACATATTTGTAGTGGTATTAAAATGGAGGATTCTACTGGGTGAAAGAGATATATTTTTTCTTTTTTTTTTTTTATGTGAGTGAACACTGGTAACTATAAACAGGTCTCATTCAGTATAGCTCTGAAGTCTTGGAACTCATTTCCACATGCAGCAATTCAACATGCAACTTTATGGTTATATCACATGGTATCAATACACATACCTGTACTTTGCAGCCAATTATGCACCGTCTGAGTCCAAAACAGGTGACATGGGTAGCACAAATTCATGAACCAAATTTTGCCTGAAGACAGAGTAGATGGGAAAAAGCCATTGAATGAATGTATGATATTGACGTTATCACAAGCCATCTGCAGCTGTTTGTGAAAGCACATCCAGTGACAGAGGATTTAAAGTTTTCAATAGGTACATGTATATGTATGACTGAGTCCCTTCACCGTTCACCTGAAACTATCACAACATTGTTTATCAGCTATACCCCAATACAAAATACAAAGTTTGTTAAAAATAAAGTTTTCCTACCCGTTAAGATACTCTGTCAGTGGCCTGTAACTAAGAGACAGTGAAATTTTTTTGAATTATTGAATGAGGTGATTGATTTGTTTTCATGGACAAACACTATCCAGAAAAATCCTTGTTTCTCAAAGAGTACCACCAAGTAGGGTCCAGTTTAAAATGATTCAGACCACTCAGGATCTGTCACCCCTCTCAACCCCGGTCTTCCAGTGATTAGAACACAGATTAAAACACCCGAGTCACCTCCTGTCCACAGTTGTGTGGACTTCGCTGAACCCATAACCCAGCCCCAAGCTCTGTAGACACAGGGCTCCTCTGCAGATATTTCCCTTAGGATAATATTTTTTTACCAGACCCCAAACCTCTTCCGCTTATTTCTCAAAAGGACAAGGTGAATCCAGGTCTGTAACACCCATTTTTGAGGCTCTTACTGCTGAAGAAATAAAGGAAATTTTCCATAGAGTATTAGAAAGGCAAAGAGATGTTAAAATTGATTCTAGAAGCATGTTTTAAATTTATCTAAAATTGATTATTTGAACGGTTGAAGTACAAATGTGTGTTTGAATAAGTATTGATTTGTATTTAGTATAGTTCGTGCATATCACCCCTTTTAACCTGTGCCTAACAACTGTACTTTTTTTTTTCTAATGTAAAAATGTTGCTGCCTGTGTAAGGTTTCCAGAACCAAATAATGGGAGTGAAACATTCTTCAGAGGTTACGCAAGATTTACTGGAGGGACTTTAGTGGTGGTACAGTGGTTCCGACTCTGCTTTCACCACTGAGGGCACAGGTTCGATCCCTGGTTGGGGAGCTAAGATCTAGCAAACTGCATGGCCAAAAAAAAAAAGAAAAATTGGAAAAATAAGTTTGGATTATGCCCTTTCTAAGATCAACTAATACAGAATCCTCAGTAATATGTTTTGAATTGCACTTTGTCTCAGAACTGTTACATAATAAATAATACATTAACCAGATCATCACTTTCTCATTATTCATTAATGGTTTACAACTATTTCAATGTAAATGAACTTACCAAAAAATTGTTGCCTGTTTATGCCTGTTTGACTTCTTCTCCCAATCTAACAAAGTTCTGGAAAATTCTCTTCCACCACAGAAAGCTAGGACAGGATCAGACCCCTCTAACCTTGAATCCTCAGCTCTCCAGAGGGACCTGAGCCCTGAGCTCGCCCAGGGGTGCACCCTCTTCCCGGGCCGCCCACCAGGGAAGTGTTCATTCAGAGGCATGACTGTCCACAGGACAGGTCTCCCGAGGCCCTACTTCTTCCTCTCCTCAAATCCTCCTCCTCCAGGCAGCCTCCCTGAGTCACGAGGGGGCTGAGGGCCTTGAGGCGTGGACAGTTGGGCAAGAGGAACCATGTCTGCCTCAGGAGCCAGCTCACCTATGGAAACTGCTAACCCTTGGCATCAGGCTCCCCATCTGTGAAAGGAGGTCCGGGGCATGTTCTTGGAGCTCCTCCTCACCCTGAGTGATCCTGACCCTGGAAAAGAGCCCGCCCTTGGATGGTTCTTGGCCACCAGCCCAGGTGCCTCTTGCTCCTTAGCAGTTGGAAGAGGAGGAGGAAGTGGGGCTGCCAGTGGCCAGACAGAGCAGACCTGAGTTGACACCAGGGGACCCTCTTCCCCCCTACATCCCAGCTACTGCAACCTGGTTCTACTGGTCACTCCAAACCCTTCCCCGTTACAGAGCACTTTAAGGACTTTTTTCTCTAAGCTGACATGTTTCGTACGGGAAAACTACAGGGTGAAGACTTGGCGCCAGGCCCTTCGGTCTACAGCAGGCAGGAGAGGTGGGATTAGAACCCAGGCACCCCAAGGGCTGTGAGGCGTCCACGTGGGCGGGAGCACCCCCAGCTCTGGAAGCGTACACCCCCAGGTCAGCACCAGGCGTTGGCAGGACCCCCACACGTCCAGCAATACGCTGGTCCTGTGAGGGTGGACAGCCTTGGGGTCAGTCGTGTCAGTCCTGGCCACATGGTGCACACAGGTCAGCGGGGGCCAGGGCTGACTTTACCCGGCCCTGGTCCCCACCAGTGGCTACAAGTGTCGTTCTGGAAGCAACATCTGTTTATATACCTCTGCCCCAAAGTCCCACACAGCGGCCCATGCCGGGAAACCGGCTCAGCACAGGGCGTGGCCACGCAGGAGGCAGCCATTGGATTTCACCCTCAGGTTTCGGGAGGAGGTCAGTTTTTCTTTCTGTCACTACCTCAGGCACTGGCCTAGACCAGGTATCAGCTGGCACAAGGCAGGGTTTCCGGGTGAGCAGGACAAACAGCAGGAAGGCGTCAGAAGGTGTGACAGAGAGGCGCGATACCATCCATGTAGACGGCGGCCCTGGGAATTCACTTTATCTGCACCTCAGAGAGCAAGTAGGATGAACGAAGCGGGAAGCAAGGACAGGACTTGCACCCCTGGGAGGAAGTGTGGGAGAGGAAAGGTTCCCTCACTCTGGGAAGCCCCTTCACTGGCAGGGAGATCAGCTGGGACTGCGAAGGAGTCTCAGAGGAGGGCAGAACAGCCGGCTTGTGGCAGGCAGGACAGAGAGACCCATCAGCAGGCGGTCCTGGCCACCGCGCTGCACTCCCTAACCCAAGCCACGCATCTACTGGTGCACATGGGGGTTGAAGTGCAGAACTCTGGCATCAGCAGACAGATGGGGTTTGCTGCCTGCTGACACTAGAATGTGGTCTGGGCCACAATTCGGGTTGCACAGAACAGAGCCCGAGTCTGCCACAGAAGCCTCACTGTTAACACACGAGTGAAGAGAGGGGCGCATCCCCACCGTATCAGCCTCACGCTGTGTGCGCACAGTGAACTCCGCTCTGCTGCCAGCAGCACTCGAGCTGGCAGGCTGCCCACACGTGGAGGCGGTCCTGAAACCTGAGCCAGTTCCCAGGGGCTGTTTGTCAGCGCGCCCATCTGAGTGCATTCCTGATGCTCCCATGCTGGGGCGCGTCCCACACTAACAACAGCGGGCTTTTCGGGGCGGGGGAAACCAAGGGGCGAGCAGGGTCTGGGCTTGTTCCATAGCTCCCACAGCAGGTCCGGTACCAGACTTGAGCGGTTCTGCACCTGCAGATTTGCGAGCACAGTGCCTGAGAAACACCTGGGCTGACTGTCAGCGTTGCCATGAGTGAGAACAGGCAGTCCCACGAATGAGGCAGGGCTGAGGGCAGTGCCAACAACAGTGTAGTTTGTGAGCGCGCACAATGCGTGATGGGCGACACTGTGGAGACCCTTCCCAGGGGACACATCCCTCAGAGGAATATTCCAAAGCTCCTCTCTCAGTAGGCTCAGATGGTTTAAGAGTCTGCCTGCAGTGCAGGAGACGGGGGTTCAATCCCTGGGTCAGGAAGACAGATCCTTGGAGAAGGGAATGGCAACCCACTCCAGTATTCTTGCCTGGGAAATTCCATGGACAGAAGAGCCTGGTGGGCTATAGTCCATGGGGTTGCAAAGAGTCTGACTCACTCACTGACTCCCAGCCCCACCTCCCTCACACCACAGCTTAGAACCAGACCTGGAGGCTTCTATCCTAACAAGTAAGAGGCAGATCCTGCTCCCAAACAGGGCCGTGACAACCACAGAGCAAAAAGGAGGCTCCACTCTACACCCAGGGCAGGCTCCGGTCATTGTACCACCAACCACAACCACACCTCCTATCCGGGGGATAAAGGCTAGCACACACTGAGGAAAGATGCGACCCGCAGACATGCTAAAAAAAGCACTCACACCAAAAATATTAGACTCATGCAGGCTACTCACGGACAGGCCCACATAAAAACAGCCCTTCAAGACCAGAGTAGATAATTGTTGCTCCTAAATTAAGAGAGACAAGAAGTAAAGAAAAGGAAGAAATTAAGAACCAAACTGATTAAAAGAACAAGAGAATTTCCCTGAAAGAACAAACGATGAAAGAGACCTCTCTGATCTCAGAGACCCCGAGATGAAAAAGGAGGTCATAGAGGTCCTCCTCTATGGAATTAAGGAATTAAAAAAAGCCATCAGTAGAAATGCAGATCACTGTAACAAGGAAATAGAAACTAGAAGCCCCTGCCTTCACAGCTGTGTGATTGTCACTCCACTCTGACTTGAGAACCACCTACAGATCTTTTTTTTTTTTTTATCATGTTGCTGAATCTGTTTCCTGACCAGAGATGGAACATGTACCCCCCGCTGTGGAAGTGTGGAGTCCTAACCACTGGACCACCAGTGAACTGCTCCACCCACAGATCTCTATTTTTCCTTCCCCAATTTCATGTCCCCTAACGTACGTGTGTGTGCATGTGCACGCACACACACTAGCCTGTAGTGCAGACCTTGGGTGAAGTATGTGGTCTTGTTAACTGCAGGGCCCTTGCAGTTAGCCACTTGCTTGGAGAGGTGTGGGGATAAGTGTTACACTCACTGCTGGCTAACTTTCCAGATTAGAGACCCTATGGAGAGTCAGGCCAACCTGGACAGGAAATTTCTGTCAAGCTTTTGTCACATGAACACGGTCAGCAGAAGAGGCCCTGCCAGGTCATGAGGCAAAAGACCAAGCCATGCTATGCTCCAAGGGCTCGGGGTGGTTTGTCCACAGGATGTGTAACAGTTACTGCTCCCCTGGCGACTCTGCTGGTGTAGATGGAGCCCTGGTCCCTGCCCCAGGCTGAGCTTGAACTTCTCTGGGCTCCCCGGGACACTTGCTGGGACTCTTGGGGGCTAGATAGAGGGAGGCTAAGGAGCGCCTGCAAAGTCAGGACTAGGGGCCTGGCCACAACTCTGCCTGAGAGGCCAGCACCCCTAACCATGACAACGAGGTCTTTGTCAGGGCCATCCATCAGGGACCCTGGAGAGTGTACACTGGTCACCCCTCCTCCCAACCCTGTGGAGCTCATGGCCCCTGCCCTCTGCCACGCTCGGCCATGCCCTTGGCACCAGCTGACCCCACCTGAGGCCTGACCTCCAGGCCCTCTGTGCCCTGGGGGCTTCACCCAGCCCTGGCTTCTGGGGACACAGTCACAGACTGTGCAGTTGAGCAGACCTGCAGACATCACGCAAGGAGGGAAACTGAGGGCAAGAGAGGTGGGGTTCTGGCAGTGTCAGAGGGACATTGGCCAGAGGATCAAGGCTGGGTTCCAGGCCTTTATTCTCCAGCCCAGAGAGCTGGGGTTTCCTGGAGTCCTCAGGCTGGGATAAGGTGTTTCAGAGCCTCCACTTGCCACCTCCTGCCCAGCATGATCACATCAGGAGGCAGGAGTCACTCCACTCCTGGGAGGGCCAAGAGGCTGCCCAGTGTCCCACCAGAGCATTGCCCAGCCCCTATTCCAACTAAGGAGGCTCTCTGCCCAAAGTATCCCTGGCCCCAGGCTGCCCCCCACCTCCACCTAGATCCAGTTCTAACCCCTTTCTGATCAGAGCCCAGGCTGGTCCTCAATGCAGCCCTGAAGCCGGGGTGGCCCTAGATTGTGCCCAAAGACACCAGGCCTTCGAGTCCCACTCAACCCGGCTTGTTCCTATCTCAGCCAAGGCCGGGATCCTTCAGGCTCTGGCTGGGAACTAGGCATATTACCCTGCTGCTGACAGCAGAACCAAATTCTTGAATCCCAAAGAGTTAAAAATACCAAAATGTCTTGAGAGGTAAAGGGAGTTCTTAAAAAAAAAAAAAAAATTAAGTGTCAAAATCTAAGTTAAATTTATATGGGGTCTGAAAGCACCGGGCATATTCTTGTAAGAACTCTGCCAAGGGTCCTGAGTGCTTCTAGGGGAGGCAGGCCGGTCTGGGCGTACTAGTGCCAGGCGACAATGGTTCAGCAAGGTGCTTAGAGGGCGTGGGCAGGCGTATTTGCTCAGGCTCAAAAGGAAAATCGGTTATTTCCAGAAAGGATGTTTTTCAGCTTGCAGGTGAAGCCCCAGGGGGCAGAAGGGCTGGGAGGGAAGGCAGAGGCCTGAGGCAGAAGGGCTGGCCCAAGGGGGCTGAATGGTGGCAGAGCGCCTCCTGGCGGTGAGATGGTGACAGGAACTGCAGAGAACGGCAAAGGGCTCGGGGCTCCATCTTTGGCCGGGAGATAGGGCGGCGGAGCTGGGAAGGAGTTTCGGGAGCCAACGCCTTTCAGGGCAGCTTTAGGAGCGGGTGGAGGGGAGACGTTCTGCGCAAGCGTGCTGGCCGCGTCCTGGGTGCTGGGAGGAGCACCCTGCAGGGCCCCGCGCTGAGATCTGGGTCCCTCTTCCGGCTTCTGGAGAGGAGCTGACGACGTTAAGCGTGCGTCTGTCTTCTGGGGGTAGGTGATTTCTCCAGTTACCTCGTTTATCCAGAAAAATGTATCAAGGGTTTTCTTCCCGTGTCCAAAGCGACTCTTTGACATAGCTACAAGGGAGAAAATGGAGACAACACAGGAGCGTCCTCAGTCTTCCACACTGAGGACGGAGGATTCCACCTACTGCATCAAAGGGAACCATCGGCCACTGCGCTTCTGTGAACAACTGTGCTAGCCCTCTGTCATCCAAGATGCTCCAGAAATCTTCCCAGGACCAAGAAGAGACCTACCCGGCGGCTCCAATGAATTCTAGAAACTTTTTTTTTTCTTGGTAGTACCCGTGGGTCTTATGGGATCTTAATCCCCAGACCAAGGATTGAACTCCTGCCTAGCAATGAAAGCACAGAGCCCTAACCACTGGACCACAGGGACTTTCCTAGGTTCTTTTGTTTCTTAATTATCTTTTCAAATTTTAACATTTTAACGGAGTATACTAGAAAGTATACTTTAGGGGCTTTCCTGGTCCAGTGGTTAAGAATCCACCTGCCAATTCAGGGGACACAGTTTGAATCCTTGGTCCTGGAAGACCCCATATGCTGCGGGGCAACTAAACCTGCAAGCCACAACTACCGAGCTTGTGCTCTGCACCAAGAGAAGTCACAGCAATGAGACATGCACTGCAATGAAGAGTAGCCCCCAGTCACCACAACTAGAGAAAGCCCACAGCAACGAAGACCCAATGCAGTCAAAAATCTTTTTTTTTTAAGTATACTTTACATCTTAATCTAGTTCAGATACACTTGTGTGTGTGTGTGTTTGTGTGAATGCATGTGTTTGTGTGTGAATGAATACTAAGTTTCCTGAAATGTCAGTGGTTGTGTGCCATGGTCTCTGATATTTTCTATGCAACTGAGTGCCCCCATAATCTTTAAGAAAATGCTCGTTGCCATTCCTGAAACTCATTTTATAAAGGAAGCAACAATGATTAAAGAATGACAGCTTCAAAAACGCTCTTAGATTAACAGGAAAATGGAGAATGCTGGACCTTCTACAAAGACGCCAAAAAATATCACTCTTACAAATTTTACAAACACATGACCATGTGTAGTCAATGGAAAGGCCCCCTAAAGATATCCTTGCCCTAATCTTCGGAACCTCTGAATATGTTTTATTATCTGGCCAAGGGAACTTTGCAGATGTAATTAAAATTATGGACCTAAATCTAGGGCATACTATCCTGTATCACCTGGGTGCCCCAACCAAATCACTTGGGATCTGAAACATAGAGAACTTTTTCTCACTGGGGTCAGAGAGATAGAACAGAAGAAGTAGAAGACTAAGTGTGAGAAGGATTCTACTGCCATCGCTGGCTTGATGACGGCAGGACCGAGTGAAGACCATGAGAAGGAAATTAACTCTGTCAACAAAATGAATGAGCCTAGAAGTGGATTTTCCTCAGAGTCTCCAGGTAAGAGCCAAGGATAGACAAAAACCTTGATGGCAGTCTTGTGAGACCTTAAGCAGAGAAACAAGCAACACTTGCCAGTCTCAGGCTCTGTGAGATAGTAAATGGCTCTTGTTCGAAGCAGCTAAATTTGTGGTCATTTGTTACTGTGACAACAAACTCACACACCATGGGAACACTTTTCCGGGAACACTGCAAGAAGGAGGCTTCAAAGCTGATTCTTTCTGAGCTCAGGGTAAGCCTGCCTTGGTGTGGGCCTCTTGGCCAGTCTGGGGATTCCTCTTTCCTTCTCTCAAGATTGATAATTGCTTCACTTTCATTAGAATGGACAGGGACTGTCATCCCTGAGAAACATCAAGTTACACTACCTAGAACGTCAACAAGCTTTCAAGATTCTGACACCTACATCCTATGTGAAGCTTTGATTTGCCCTCAGGCAGAGAGGGTTTCTCCACCTTCCCCAGTGGTCCACAAGGCCATGGAGAAGTCAGCACACTCGGCAGGATTCCCAGAATCAGGGGTGTTTGTAGCAAGGGCACAATGGTTTGAACCGGTAGGGGCTGGCCAGGGGCTAGAGGACTAAAAAGGTGTGAAGGATTTGAAGCTCACCTGTCAGAAGGTGCTGGAGGAAGGGGTCTATGGAGGGAGCTTCAGAGAGAAAGGGCTGTAGAAGACTGGGGGCTCCTAGCAACCTTATTATTGTGTAAAGTGCTTCCCACCCTATCCCAGCCCAGATTCTACCTAGTAACCTCAACGGTTTCCAGCAAAGCCATACACACAACCTCACCCCTCCTCCGGTCCCCTCTGGTATAGCACCTGAGATCCCAACCTAGAGGTGTCCCTGACACCTGCCCTTCCCTTTCCCCGAGTTGCCAGCTTGTGCCAGCTCCCCTGCATGGCTCCACAAAGCAGCATCTGGTTTCTCTAGGATACAAGCCTATAGGCAAGGGGGCATGTCCTCCCCTGGCAGGGTTAGTTCATGTTTAGCATAGTGGATGCCAGGCTCGAAATTTCTCACAGATCTACTCCCTACTCAGCTGGGCGTGGCTCACCCTTGGACCCAAACTCTCTCTGCAGCCTCAGCTCCCTGAGAACTAGACCTGACCCCCATGGTGGCTTGTTTGCTGGAGCAACACATCATTTTGTTTCAAGCAGGACGCATCGCTTCCTTCCTTTCCATACATCAGGAATTAATAAGTGCCGGCTTCAGATATCTTTGGGCTAATTTAATTTTCAAGGACCAGGGACTTCCTGGCAGTCCAGTGGTTAAGATGCTGAGTTCCCAATATCAGGGGCATGGGTTTGATCCCTGGTCAGGAAATGAAGATCCCACATGCCCTATGAAGGAGGGAAAAAAATTTCAAGGACCAAATTATGTCAGAAGCAGACTTTTTCGTGTATGTGCATGTCTAAATTTTTCCTCTTTCCTTACAGAGAAGAATAATTAGCTATCTGTCTAAAGTCAATTCCCTCTTATTTCTTCCTGTCACACTTTATCTCTTTTCCCTCTCCTGAATACGTGAAGGATTTACTTATAAAAAAATGCATTCGGATGTTATATATATACTCTATGAACATTTAGGTTGGATGAAGCCAAAATTGTCTAAATAAGAAAAAGGAAAGAAATGTTACTAAAGTATTTCTATTTATGGACATTGGAAAGTATACTTGAGAGTTTCCGGGCTGGGGGACACATGGAAATGCTGGCACGTTGGTCACTCAGACGGGGCATGGATGCTACCCCATGAGTCTCTTCCATCTGGCTGTTCCTGGGTTATATCCTATAATAAACCAGTTATCTAGGGAGAAAAAAAAGTATATTTTACCTAATAGCCTTTGTAACTATTATGAGATAATAAGAAATCAATTTAAAAGAAAATCTGCTATGATTCAGTCTTCATTAATTTATCATTTAAAAACATGTTAACACAATATTTTGGTTTGTCTAAGACCAAAATTAAATTTCTCATGATTCAAACTTCCTATATTTCTTATACTGGTTTCATTAGTTAAATATGTTTCCATTATATTCCATTCTATAACTTGGTGGAAAGTAGGCCTCATCCAATCCATTGAAGACCTGAAGGAAAAAAAAAAGCTCTCATCACTGTCTTCAGCCTGTAATATCAGTCTTCTTGTGCCTTTGGCCTCCAACTTAGACTGGAACTACAGTAGCAGCTTTCCTGAGTCTGGACTTCTCAGCTTTCATAATAATGTAAGCCAATTCCTTATAATAACACACACTCTCTCTCTCTCTACACACACACACACACACACACACACATGTTGGCTCCGTTTCCCTGGACAACCCTAATACAGTCTTTTTAAATGACTACATTAGTAGAGGTTCCTTTTTTGTCACCAAAGTATTCTGCTAATTCTCAGTCCTTTCAGCATACACTTAAATCCTGTTGTTAGCAATTCCCTTGCATAGATCTAGTTTTTTTTTTCTCTTTTTTTTCCAAAAAGACATATTTACAAAATGTTCATATTTTTAAAGATTGCAGAAATAAATTAACCCTTACAAATAAAGACCGCTCCTCAAAATTAAACTTCCCAGAAATTATAAGTTCACAGGAGTAAAACAATTGCCCTTGCCCAGGCACATTAACCAGCAAAAGCAGAGAGGGACTAGCAAAGGGGCTTTCCTCCACAAATTGCCTTGGAGGGTCCACGAGACAGCACAGGGTGAGCCCTGTGACTGACTGAAGACCTTGATGTCATAAACGCCAGGTGCTGTGCCAGAGAATAAAAGGAGATGGCCGTGGGGCAGGGAGGGGATGACCAGACTTCAGCAACTCTTCCTCCTGGTTCTTTCCTTTGAAGTCCTCCTCCCCTCAAGCCCACTGAACATGGCCTTGGAACTCACGTAGCATTCTAGTCCCAGGCCCAAAGTCTTCTTCTTGCCCCTCAACTGGACCCACCTTTTTCACCCAGCGTCTAACAGCTGAATAGCTGCTCAGATCTTGAAACCTACTCCAACCTAGAAGGTAAGGGCTTTCAGTGACCAGGGAGGATGGTCACTTCATACCTCCTAAAAGAAATAGAACTCACAAATGCATAGGAAACAGCCTTTGGCAAACAAGGGTGTCACTTATTTAGACCAGGAGTGGACTTGGATACATTGGACTGAAGGTCTGATCAAACCTAAAAATGAACTTTGGACAGTTTAGGAGACCTTTCTTGTTCCTGGAAAAGCTTCTTAAAAGTTGTACTCCCACGGGGCATGGGGTTAGCTCACTGAAGCCCAGGGATCATGGGGTTCCTTGCCAAGTGAGGGGTGGATCCCTCCATTGCCCACTGATGGAGAACTCACCGAGGTTTTCTCTCCCCTCCTGTAGATGTCTAGAAGTCATGTGGGGTCAAAGAACAGGCCTCTACCCACATTTATGTGGGTAAATGAAGTCACAGCACAAGTCACCTACCCCACGTGGAAGACAGATCCTCCGGCACTGTCTCCTGCTTGTCTGCTGAACCTGACATGTGAACCCCCATCTGGATGTGGGGCTGGGGATGTGGTTGCCCCCTGTCCGAGAGGCCCACCTATTGTCCCTACACAGACATGGGGTCCAGCGTCAGCCCCTGCTGCTGCCTCTCCAAGAAAAAGTGGCCCAAAGAGCCCTGGCTACTCTCCAGGTGCTGACCAGGGGCCTGTTACTCTCAACAGACCTCCATCGCTGCCAGATACAGGGCCTCCTCCGCTCTGCAAGCCATCCACACCACCTCCTCAGCCACTGCCCGCTACATTCCCCTCCCCACAAGGCACTCTCCCAGAGCAGGGGCTTTCCTACCTCCATGATTTGTCCCTGAAGCTGACATCCTTCAGCCCCGAGAAAGTCATCTTCCAGGTTGTTAGCCTCACTCACAGGATGCTACACAGGACCCTCAGAGGCCTCCAGCCTGACACAAATCATGACCTGGTTTGATCTTTAAAATTTTCTCAAAATCTAATTTTGGAGGCTTTCTTCAATTCTTTTAATCGTTATATATATATATGTAATTATTTTAGGTAATTAAAAAAATAACACCCAGTGTGTCAGTCTTTGTGCTCCTATGTATTTTCTGTCTCAAAAAAAAGATATGATTAGGAAAATGATGAAGATATACACTGAAAAAAAAAGGCTGGGACCTAGAGTCTTTCATTTCAGTGGTCCTATAAAGAGCGAAGCCTTCTACTATTGAAAAGGAAAGGAATCCAAAACATAGGGAACATTTAGTGGTCTCTGCCACACCAATGGCATATGGAATCTTTGAGAGAGTTGGAAACAGAAACACACGGGAGAAGAAACAACAGAAATATAAAGCAACCAAAAAACAAAAGATAAAATGGCAGTCATCAGTCTTCATATATCAGTAATTATCCTAAATTTTAGGTGAATTAAATTCACCAACCAAAAGACAGGGTGGCTAGACGGATTGAAAAACAAGATCCCATTATATGGTGCTCCCAAGAAACTCAAGCTCTAGAGATAAATGTAGGCTCAATGTGAAAGGATTGCATACTCCAAGCAAATGGCAGCCGAAGTTAAAAGTGTGGCCGTACTCACATCAGAGAAAATAGACTTCAAACCATACAGGGTTAAGGAGAGGCAAATATAATGATCAAAGGCATGATTCATCAAAAAGGCACAACATGTATTAATATATAGGCACATAACATGGAAACACCAAAAAATATGAAACAATAATATAATTGTTTAAAGGCAGGAAAGGAGAAATTGACAGCAATACAGTAATTGTAAGGGACTTATACACCTCACTTACATCAATGGATAGATACTTCAGACAGAAAATCAACAAGGAAACATTGGCCTTAAGTGAAACATGGAACCAAACAGACCTAAAACTATATATAAAACATTCCATGTAATAGCTGCAGAATACATTCTTCTCAAGTGCACATGGAACATTCTCAAGAATAGACCATGTGTTAGGACACAAAAAGTTATTCAGTAAACTTAAGAAAACTAAAATCACATCAAATATATTCAATGGTGAAAAACTGAGAATTATCCCTCTAAGATCAGGAATAAGACAAGGACCTACTCTCACCATTCTTTTCAACATGGCATTGGAAGTCCTAGCCAGGGCAATTAGGCAAGGAAAAGAGAGAAAAGGCACTCAACTTGAAAAGAAACAAGTAAAACTTTCACTATTTGCTGATACCATGATTTTGTATATAGAAACCGCTAAAGACTCCATTACACATGAAAAAAACCTACTAAAAAAAATAAACAAATACAAGGCCTTCCCTGGTAGTCCAGTGGTTAAGAATCCACCTGCCAATGCAAGAGACATGGGTTCAATCCCTGGTCTGGGAAGACTCCACATGCCGAGGGGCAAAGAAGCCCACACGCCACAACTACTGAAGCCTGCTAGCTCTAGAGACCCTGATCTGCAACAAGGGAAGCCACCACACTGCAAAGCCCACATACCACAATAGAACCCCCACTCGCCACAACTAGACAAAGGCTATGTGCAGCAATAGAGACCCAGTGCAGCCATAAGTAAATAAATAAAGCAGTTTTTAAAAATATAGTAAAGTTGCAAGGTACAAATTAATATGTAAAAACTTGTTGCATTTTTGTACAGTAACAATGAACCAGCAAAAAGACACATTAAGAAAGCAATTTCATTTACAATCACAAAAAAAACCCCTAGAAATAAATTTAACTAAGGAGTAAAAAACTGAAAACTATAAGATACTGTTGAAAGAAATTGAAGACACAAAGAAATGGGAAAATATGTCATGCTTATTGCTTGGAAGAAGTAACATTGTTAAAATGTCTATATTACCTAAGGAAATCTACAGATTCAGTGCAATCCCTATCAAAATCCCAATATTTTTCACAGAGGTAGAATTTAAAAAATCCTAAAATCTGTATGAAACCACAGAAGATCCAGATAACCAAAGTAGTCCTGAGAAAAGTGAACAAAGCTGCAGGTGTCACAGTCGCTGATGTCAGATTTTACTAGAAGGCTAGTAATCAAAACAGCATGGTATTGGCAGAAAAATAGATGCTTAAGACTCTTTGCTTCTACTGCAAGGAGTGCAGGTTTGATCTCTGGTCAGGAAGTTCTGCACACTGTGAGGTGCAGTTAAAAAGAAAAAGAAATGTGTTGGAGAGAATGTAGGAAAGAAAGAATCATATATTGTTCATGGGAAAGTAAGTTGGTGCAGCCACTATGGAAAACAATATGGCAATTCCTCAGTATATTATTAGAATTACCATATGATCCAGTTCTTCTGCTTCTGAGCAGAAAAGTATGGAAAAGAATATGGAAATATAATTTTGAAAAGATAAAATGCACCCTATGTTCATTGCCACAGCATATACAATAAGCAAGATGCGGAAACAACTGAAGTACCCATCAACACAAGGATGTGCTGTACATATATATATATATATATAAAGATATGGATAAAGGATAAAGATGTGGTGTATATATACAATGGAAATATTATTCAGTCATAAAAAGATGAAATCTTGTCATCTGTGACAGAATGGACTTTAAGGGTATTACACTAAGTGAAATAAGTCAGATGGAGAAAAACAAAATACAATTTTATTCATACACAAAATATAAAAAACAAGAGTAAAAACAGATACAAAGAACAAGCTGGTGGTTACCAGAGGGTAAGGGTGAAAAGGGTAAAAGGGATCAATTGTATGGTGGATCAAAACTAGACTTTTGGTGGTGAGCACGCTGCAGTGTATATAAAAGTAGAATTACAGTGCTGAACACATGACATGCTAT